GCTCCGGCCCCATCTCCAGGCCTCCTGTGCCCCTTCCGCCTCCGAGGGGCCCAGCACAGGCCCCGCGGGCACCGCATCACCATGGACTGTTTCTGCTAACGGGGTGGCGCCGAGGGAGGAAGGACTGTTCCCGTCCCCGGCACCCGCACCTGGTGCCCTATACCTACCTGTTGAATGGAAAGATGGATGAGTGAGTGGATGGATGGATGGATGGATGGATGGATGAGTGAATGGATGGATGGATGAGTGGATGAGCTGTAACCTTAGGAAGCAGAGAGTGAGGGGGAGACGGGCGGGAAACAGTAACCAGGAGAGAGGAAGTCCAGATGGGGCTGCAAAGGGTCTGTGTACTGTGGGAGTTCTCATGGGGAACCCTCTGCTTCCCCCAGTCGGACCCCATGGGGAGCGCTGGGGGGACCCACAGCGCCTGAATGACTGCAGGAAGCCGGCGTGGCTCGCAGCTGGAGACCGGGCCGCCCAGACCCGGTGCCTTCCCTGCGGGCAACGGGGGCACCTGTGAGGGGAAGTGAGCAGGGGAGACCGGGAGGCAGCCAGGCGTGCTCCCAGGCGGAACTGGGGACCCCAAGGGCGAGGGGACAGGCAGCAAACGGGCGGGACTGACTGCTCAGCACCCCTCTCGGCCCAGGGGCCGGGTAGGCCTGGAGCGGAGACGCAGGCCAGAGAGGAGAGCGGGCGCTGCAGTCCGCCCTCTCGCCTGAGGGCTGGGCTGTCTCCGAGGAGGAGAGGCTGGAGAGCCAGAAAGAGAGTCTGCGAGCCAGACCCACACTCCGGACAGCTGGGAGCGCGGTCAGGCCCGGTGACTCACTTTCCCAGCAGCCCCGTCCTTGCCTTTCTCACGGCTCGCCTCCTCTGATCTCTTTGTTGGGACGGGAGCGCCCCCCCCCTCCCCCCGCCCCCAACCTACTCTTTCTGTCACCAGCATCTCGGCTCAAGGAGGAACAAGGGCCTTTCAGACCCCGCCCCGACACCCCCACCCCCTGCCGGGGCCACAGCGCTGGGTGTGTGTGTGTGTGTGTGTGTGTGTGTGTGTGTGTGTGTGTGAGGCGGGTTGGCATCTGAGCGGGTGAGCAGGCAGGAACCTGGACTGGGGCTGCTGATGGAGGGCGGGCCTCACGGGTACCTGGGGCCACCAGGGGGGAGAGAACCAGGAGGGCGGGGTGAGAAGGTGGGGGCGGGAGGGGGCTGAGACCAGGTCCAGAGCAAGAAGACTGGGCCTGGGGAGAGGGTAGGAGAGGCCGCTGGGCACAGCCCTAATCACAGCCTGGGAGTGAGGTTACTGCTGCGCTCAGCATGGGACCCGCCACACAGCCCCTGGTGTTTGGATTAGGGATGACATCATGGCCGCGGCCTGTCACTCCGGCTCCGAAGGAAGAGGAGGGTGGTGGGCAGGGGGACGGGCCTCCAGCCTCCCAGCATCCAGGGCAGGAAACCCAAACCACAGGCACACAGCCCAATCACCGAGCAAGCTGGGCAGCTGTTCCCAGGTGCCCACCCCCTGCCCCTGCCAGCCTGGTCCCCAGAACGCCGAACTGGTCCCCGGAACGCCGGCTCAGGCTGCTCGGGTGGAGGAGGCCTGGGCCCCGCCTCGCTCCTGGCCCCGCTCCCTGACCGCAGGGAGGAAGCACATGACCACGTGCCCGGGGCCAAGAGGAAATGCCGGGGAGGAGCGCACGCCTCGGAGCCCTGCTTCACCCCGCTTCTCCCCGCCTCTCCGCGTCCTTTGCTTTCACAGGACCGAGTCTAAGGGCGGGTCCAGGGGAGCGGCGAGGCCAGGGTCAGACAGGTGGGAGGAGGGCAGAGCTCAGGGGTGTGTCCATGGACCCTCTCCCCCCACCCCTGTCTCCCAGAAGGTGCAGGTAGACCTTCCATGTCACAGGGAGGGGAGCGCTGGCTCAGGGCCCATGCGACAGGCCAGCGCAGGCCGCCCCCGGGAGGAGGTGTGTGCTGCTCTCAGCCGGGCCGTTGGCTCTGGGGTGCCCATCTCTTCAGGCCAAGGACTTCCTGGGCTCCCTGCTGACCCCCCAGACAGCCCTGTCCCCCTTCTCGCGGATTCGCTCTGTCTGGGTCAGGACAGCACGGTGGTGTGGGGGTGCTGCCCGGACCTGCTCCCCACCTCCTCAGCCGTGCCCTCCCTCCGGACAGCCCGGAACAGCCCCGCAGGCTGAGCCAGAGCTGCGGGTGGGGCTCCTCTGACAGGCAGTCCCCAGGCAGGCGTGGGCCGTTTGACTCCTGTCCAAGGAGCAGGACGCCACCTCTGACCTCTGGCCTGTCACCTCCTTTCCCACCACCTGGAGCCACTCCTCTGACTCTTTGGTGAAGGCCTTTTAGAGAGCACTTTTTTTTTTTAAATTTAAAATATGTTTCTATTGATTTTGGAGAGGAAGGGAGAGGAAACTGAAACCACAATCACTCAGCCTCAATCACCCCTGGCGCCCACCCCCCTTACCTCCCCATATTCTCCCCTTCCCTAGCCAGCCCCATCCGCAGAACGCAGCCGCCGGCGCAGGCTGCTCAGGATGGAGGAGACCTGAGTGCCCACCTGCTCCCTGAGAGAGAGAAGCATCAATGATGAGAGAAAATCGATGACCAGCTGCCTCCTGAATGCCCCCTACTGGGGACTAAGCCTGGACATGTGCCCTTGACCGGATCAAACCTGGGCCCCCACTCTACACACAGGGTCCGCGGCCACTGCTCTATCCACTGAGCCACCCGTATGATCCACGCACAGGTTTAACTTCCCCGTAAACGGAGGCAGGTGCGTGCTGTTTGCCAGGCTCACTTTAGATGAGAAGCACGCTTTAGCATTCCCCGCCCCCTGCTCTCCCCGAGCCTGGGGGGAGAGCGTGCGGGTGTCGGAGCCTTGTTTACGTCCCTGCGTCTCGCTTTCTCACCACCCAGGATCTTTATGGCTCAGGGCTTGTCAGCCAGAATGCGTTGGCCTCCCTCTCCCCCCCAGACATTGAGCAACATCTGGACAGATGCCGGGGCGGCGTGCTGTCAGCATCTGGAGGGGGGAGGCCAGGGGTGTTGCTCAATACCCCACCGAGCCCAGGATGCCCCCCGCCAGAGGGCGGGCTGGTGGGGTGAGCAGTGCCGGGTGAGAAGCCAGGCCTGGCCGGAGAGGATGCGTCACAAAATGAACGAAATGGGACGAAGTCGAACTGCGCTTCTGAGGGTCACCACTGGCCACGCAGCCATGACGTGGGCCGCGCAGGGGCCGTGGCCCACCTTCGTGCTGAGGAGCTCGGGCATTCCTCCTCCTCCTGTGGAGGCAGCCGGGCCGGGGGTGCTGGGACAGGGGTCAGCGTTGACAGGGCCCGTGTCCGCCCTGAAGCCACTGCCAGGCCTTGAGCTCACCCTGACTCTGTTTACCCGAGGAGGGCAGCAGGGCGTGCGGCTTCATCTGGCCCTGCACAGCGACTCCACCAAGCCCAGCCCGGGAGGGCGGGCAGGGTGGACGGCAGGTGGGGCAGACAGCAGGCAGGGCGGACAGCAGGCAGGGCAGGTGGCGGAGAGGTGACGGGGGGTGGGGGGCTGAGCACGCTGTGCTCTGCTGGGAAAGTCTCTTGCGGGGGGGGGGGGCAAGGTGGGAGCTCCTGGTGAAAAGTGGTGACCCCGGGGCTGTGGTCTGAGGCTCCTAGAAGACCCTCCCCCAGCAGGCCTGCTCCCTCCTTTCTGACCACGGGGAGCCACAGGTGCAGGCGAGGCCCAGCAGCATGGTGGGTCCCGGCCTGCGCTCCTGCTGGCCTTGGCAATGTAAGGTAGAGGAGGCCGGAGGGAGAGAAGGTGACTACCAGCTCCCGGCTCCAGGTCCCCTGCCTCCTTCCCTCTCTTGCCGGGATGGGAGGCAGCTGGCCAGGTCCTCTCTCCGTGGCCTCCCTCCGTGGCCTCCCTCGTGGCCTCCCTCCGTGGCCTCCCTCCGGGGGCCCAGATCGGAGCTGCAGCCCCTCCCTGGATTCCTCCTGCCGCGTTGCGCCCTCTTGGAGCCGGAGCAGAGAGCAGGTGACACGATTTTGTACGAACAAAAACGGGAAAAGTGACTCTGGGCTCGAAGGCCGCTCACAACATTGCTCTGCCCGCTGTCCTTCCGCCCGGAGGGCAGGCCTTCCTCCCCTCAGGGCTCCTCCAGCCGTGCCTTTCCCTGCCTCCCCTCCCCAGCCCGGCCAGGTCCCCCCCAACTCCCCCCAAGCAAGCCGGAGGTCCTGGTGCAGCTGCCCCGCCCGCCCAGGGGCTCAGAGCCGGGGCAGGGGCAGGCAGACAGGGTCTCGGGGTCACACTTTGTCATACTTCACATGCCGTCCACACCCCGAGGATCCCGCCCTTTCTGGAACCTGAACTGTTTGGGGAGAAGTGTTTTGGCTCCCACATTGGGGGCTAAGGGAGGGCCTCGTCCAATCCCACCGCCTCCTGCGCTCCTGGGCCCAGCCCCTGTGCTTGTTGGCTGGGCACAGATGGCAGTTTATATAAAATCTGTTCGTTCCTTAACCACTCCCCCAACCTTCCCAACCCACCTTCCACGGCCTCCATTTGAGGCAGGGGTCCGCCTCCCCAGCATGGGCGGGGCCGCAGGAAGTGACCTCTGTCCTCAGCGCACACCCTTCTTGCTCAATCCCCGGCCCGAATGAATCTAAGGGTTCTGGGGCCGAGCTGGGGGGAAGGGTGTGGGTGGGCCCCCTGAGCCCTGGGAGTGGGCTGTGGGTCCCAGGTGCTGAGTCAGGGCCCCCCTGGGCGCTGTTCCGCCCGCATCACCCCGCGCCCGGGCCTCGGGCGATTGGGGCGGCTGCGGGCGCGGCCCGGGGCCGGGCGGGGGGTCGCGGGGAGGGGCCAGGTGCGCAGCGCCGAGCCCCCGCGCCCGGCACAACAAAAGCGGGGTTTGGGGGAGGGCCGCGCGGCGGGGGGCGGGGCCTCGGGGGCCCTCGAACCCCATTGGCCGGCGGCGCGCCCCGAGCGCTATAAAGCCGGCGCGGCCGCTCCCGCGGCGCACACGGCCCCGGAGGCGGACGAGGACCGGACCCGCGCCGCGCCGCGCCTCGCCGCGCCTCGCCGCCCCCATCCTTTCTTCTCCGCCCCGCGGCCGCTCCCGCGCCGTCCCCGCGCCTCCCCGGGACCCCGCCGGGAAAGTTTGTGCGGCGAGTGCGGCCGGGCGAGGAGGGCGCCCCGGGAGCGCAGCCAGACCGCGCGCCCCACCCGCCAGGAGGGAGCGCCCCGACCCGGGCGGCGGCCCAGCCCCTCCCGCCCCCGGCCCGCGCCCCCGGCCGCCATGGGCGCCGCGGCCCGCAGCCTGCCGCTCGCGCTCGGCCTCCTGCTGCTGGGGCCGCTGCTCCGCCGGGCCGACGCCTGCAGCTGCTCCCCGGTGCACCCGCAACAGGCGTTTTGCAACGCGGATGTAGGTAAGGACGGGGCCCCCCGGGTTCGTGGGGACCCCGCCGCCGCCTGCGCCCCGGGGGGGAGGGGGGCCCGGCGCCGCCCCGGCCCCGGCCCCAGCGCCCGCGCCGGCCCTGCAAGTTGACGCCAGAACCGCACTTTCCTCCCCGCCTCCTCCCCTCCCTCCGCCGCGATGCCTCCCGACGCCTCCCGACCTCAAAATTCCTCCGAAATTCCGCTGCCGCTCCGGCCGGAGCGGGGAGCTGGGAGCCGGGGAGCCAGGCCCGGCCGGGTTGGCAGGCGGAGCGGCCCGGGGTGCCAGCGCGGGGGCGGGGAGCGGGGACGCGGCGGGGCGAGGCGGGCGAGTGCGCTGGAGGGAGCCCGGCCGGCGGCGGGAGGCCCGGGTCCAGGAAGAAACTTTCTCTCGGACACGGCGGGGGCCGCCTCTGGGCGGGGCTGGGTGGGGTGGCTTTCTGCCTGGGCCTCTCCCACCGGCCCATTTGGGGGCTGGATGATGGGGGTTTGGTGCGGATGGACGTCCCTCCCCGGGGCTGGCCAGGCGGCATTGCACCAGGGCTGGGCAGGAAGGAGGGTCCTTGAGTCGATGGCCACTGGGGACCACTTTCCGGACACCCACAAAAGCTAGGGATTAGTGACGAGAGGCGGGGCAGCTGGGGGGAGGGGTCATGCCCCCAGGACTCCTTGCCCTTCAGAGAGGGGCGCTAGCGAGGGAGGAACCCAGGCATTTGGCCAGGGAGGGGCATGGCACTGGGGGTGGGGAGGGACCAGTGGGCACCCTGAGGAACCCTGACGCCTCCATCCGGGTCTGCAGGCCTCACAGCCCCCGCAGAGGTCAGCCAGGCCGTCCTGGGCACCACAGGTGGCCTGCTGCTCCCACCCACTCTCAACAGGTGTATCTCCCACTGCTCCACCCAGCTACCCCGCACCCTGATCCAGGCCAGAGGGGTGCCCCAGGCTGCCTCAGCTGCTCAGACCCCACGCTGGCTTTTCTGGGTTCTCCCTCCTCCACCCCCCCTGGATATCCACACCACCGGAGCTCCCTGCGCACCCCAGCTTCTCTGCTGCCTGGCCTGGGAGGTTCAGCTCTCCCACCTGGGCGCCCTGACTCAGGGCCCCTGGGCTGGCTGGGGCTGTGCTTGAGGAGCAGTTTGCACACAGTCTGATCTGGAGAAGTCGGTCTGTTTGGGGTCCAGCATGATTTGAGGGGGAGCCTGGATCAGCCTTCCCACGGGGTGTCCCCTGGGACCAAGGCCTGTCCAGGCCCCTTGACGGAGAGAGAAGCCATGTTTGTGAGCTGAGGGGCGGGGGGCAGCCAGGCTGAGGCTGGGCTCCGGGAGCGGAGTGGGAGGGGCTGGGCCTAGGGACCCCTGAGCTTCACCAGCCTGGGTGCTTGGGGTTTGGAGCCTGGGCCGCCAGGGGCCGGAGTGGGACCTGCAGGATATTCGGGCTCCCCTCCTTGCTTTGTGTGCGACTCTCCTTTCCTCCTGCGTTTGTGTCCAAATCGTCGCACCAGACTCATCCCGCAGCTAAAATGCTCAGCCCCGGCCCTCGCCCCAGCCGGGGGCCTGCAGATGAAGCTGGAGCTGGGCGGCTGAGCCCTGAGGGTTAGGTGCCTGGGGCGGGAGGGGGTGGGGAACCCGCAGACACCAGCAGGAACAGCTTCTCCGAGCTCAGGTCTGACATCTAGGTGGGCAGGCCCGGCGCGAGGGAGGGCTGGGCACCGGCCTCCGCTCCGGGCACCGGCTCCGCGGCCATCCTGGGCCCGTGGGCGCATCACTGCCCCCCTGCTCCGCCTCCCCCGGCGACATCCCTGGTGTGTGTGCCCGCGCGCCCCTTCCTTCGGGCACCGTCACTGCGTTAGGGCCACCCACGCCAGCATGACCTCATCTTCCCTCGCTCACATCTGCAAAGACCCCGCTTCCAAATAAGGCCGGTCTGGTCGGGCGGGAGCTGTACCGGGAGCAATCTGAGCCCCTCCCGTCTGCCGGCGTGTCCCACACTCAGCCCTCCGGGCTCAGGCAGCGCGGGGTGCAGAGCAGGGCAGCCCCACGCGGGCCCTGGGCGGCCTGGAGTGACCTCCCAGAGAAGGCACTTCTCCTTTAAGGGGCCCAGGTTCTCCGTGTCCTCCGACCCCCACTCTGGTTGAGAGCAGAACTGCCTGGGGTTGAGCGTGGACCTAGGAACCAGGAGGCCACGGTTCGATTCCCGGTCAGGGCACAGGCCCGGGTTGTGGGCTCCATCTCAGTGGATTGCTGTTTCTCTCTCCCTCTCCCTTCCTCTCTGAAATCAATAAAAACATTAAAAATAAATGAAGGTCACTCAGGCCTGGGTCCCCAGACCTCAGCTTTTGTCGTTTCAAAGCAGCACAGGTGATACTGTGCCACGAGAGCTGTGGCCCCGGGGTCTGGGGTGGGGGGAGGGTGTGGTCTGTCCCCTAGGGGTGCTGAAGGCACGCAGGCTGGCAGGTTGGCTGGTTACGTGGCTCTGTATCTGCCAGTGGCCAAGGCCAAGTCACAGGCTGCTGCCGGAGGCTCTGTGGAAGCCCCCCCTCCCCCCCAGTTCTGGCAGGAAGGACGGCGACTGCAGCTGTCAATGGTTCAGGGCCAAGTGCTTTGAATCGCATCCCGCCGTTCCTGTTGTTAACTCGGCTAATGCTTGGTTCTTATCCCCGTTTTACAGGTGATCAGACTGAGGCCCAGGTTGTTAGGGACTTGCAGACAGAGTGAGAGGACTGTTGCAAAGCGAGAGGAGCCGGGCCCACGCTGGCTTGGCTGGGGGTGGGTGGGGGCCCCTGGGGAGCGGATGGTGAGGGTGCGGGGTCCCTGGGGAGCGGATGGTGAGGGTGCGGGGTCCCTGGGGAGCGGATGGTGAGGGTGGGGGCCCCTGGGGAACGGATGGTGAGGGTGCAGGGTCCCTGGGGAGCGGATGGTGAGGGTGCGGGGTCCCTGGGGAGCGGATGGTGAGGGTGCGGGGCCCCTGGGGAGCGGATGGTGAGGGTGCGGGGTCCCTGGGGAGCGGATGGTGAGGGTGCGGGGTCCCTGGGGAGCGGATGGTGAGGGTGGGGGCCCCTGGGGAACGGATGGTGAGGGTGCGGGGTCCCTGGGGAGCGGATGGTGAGGGTGCGGGGTCCCTGGGGAGCGGATGGTGAGGGTGCGGGGTCCCTGGGGAGCGGATGGTGAGGGTGGGGGCCCCTGGGGAACGGATGGTGAGGGTGCAGGGTCCCTGGGGAGCGGATGGTGAGGGTGCGGGTCTGGGCAGGGAGGCTCCTGAGGCTGGCTTCGTGTGTGAGGCGCTCCGGCCCTTGGCGATGGGCTGAATGCTCGGAGCTCTGTCCTGACGGCAGGACACGGAGCCGTGGTCTCACACCATGTGGTGGGTCCATGTTCATGGCCGAGGAGAATGTCGGAGTCACGGGCACAGCTGTGAGGCGCTTTTGACAAACGCCAACAGGCCACAGCCAGGCCGGGACCAGCACCGGCCACCCCGCCCTCTGCTGCCTCCTGGCCCCTCCCGTGGGGAGGCCCCGTCTGGTGTGAGGGGACGATCCCCAGCTCCGTGTGCGCTGCGGACAGCGGAGCGTGTCCGTGGCTTTCCAGGCGGCGGGAGAGCCGGAGGTCGGTGTCTGCGCTGCTTTCTCTGAATTCTCGGGTGCCCGCCAGCAGGGAAGATCTGAGGCCTCAGGGCTGGCGTGGAGAGCCGGGGGCGGCTCCCTGCAGATGAGAGGCAGGCCCGGCTTTTTGTCTGCTCTGCTGGGGGTCGCGCCCGCCGTGCAGGTCCCCTTTCCGTGTCCAAGTCCGTGGTCGTGGGTGCGGTCAGGCTCCACGCGGAGGACGGGCTGGGTCTGCCCGTCTGTCTGTCAGGAGGCGCAGGAGGTGGGTTTCTGCCGGGGCCTCGGCGCCTCTGTCCTCCAGCTCCTCACCAGGGCGGACACGTGACGCCCCGGGCCTCCTGACCTTGGCCGGCCCTCAGGGCTTGGCAGACCGCCCGCCTCGCCGCCCGCCGTGGTAAACAAGGTCCTGCTGGGAGGCTGCAGCCGCTGCTGGCTCCAGCTCCCGCTCCCACTGCATGGAGCCCAGAGGCTCAGGCCCCCCAAAGGCTCAGATCCCCCCCAGAGGCCCAGCCCTCCCCCTCCAGAGGCCCAGGCCCCTCCTAGAGCCCCAGACCCCTAGGCCCTCCAGAGCCCCAGAACCGAATGGCTGCTCTCTGGTCCTTTAGGAAAACTTGCCTGGGCCGAGTCCCAAGGATGACCCAGCTTCCTGGACAGCTCCCCTCGCCCCTGCTCACCCGCTCCCCGCTGTCCAGAGCAGGGGGACCGGGGAGAAATGATAGCTGTGGGCACCCTTCCCCACACAGACCCCAAAGGTGCAGCGACTCTGCCCCCTCTCCGGGCTCTGGCGCCCAAGCACCATGGCCGAGAGCTCCCCGGGCAGCCCCGCCAGGCAGGCACCTTCCCGGACTCGGCTCAGCCGGGGGCACTGCGCCGGCCGCCGAGGCCCCTCCGGAGAGAAAGCCCTTTCCCCGCTGAGCGTCCGCTGGGCCGGAGGAGGAGGTGGCGGACACGGCCATCCACCGCAGCCGCGGGGCAGGGGGCCGGACGCCATCGAGGCCCCGGGAGCTCTGGGCGGTGCTGCCGTGTTGTCCCCGCCAGAGTGGGCCCTTGCTGGGGGGTGGCCGCTGCAGACCGGGCGGGGGGCGGAGGGGGCAGTGTTCTCCGGGCAAGGAGCAGGCACAGACCGGCGTCTCAGGCCAAGAGGAGGGACCCGACCGACACGGGGGGGTGGACTTAGGCCGAGACCTCCCGGGGGCATGCCTTCTGCCCCATGGGGGTCAGGGCCACGTGACCTTGCCGCGGCCCCTCTGGCCCCAGGGGCAGGCTCTGCTCCAGGGTCCGCGCCTCGGGGCCGCCACGCCCTCGGTGTCCACCGCAGCCCGGTTCCTGCCGGGGGCTCTGGGGAAGCTGGCCTTGAGATGGATTTGCTCTGCCTTCTTGGGGTCCACAGGCTGCTCCCCCAATTACATTTTTTTTTTTTTTTTAGAAAAACATTGATTTTTTACAGAGAGGAAGGGAGGGGGATAGAGAACTAGAAACATCGATGAGAGAGAAACATCCATCGGCTGCCTCCTGCACACTCCCTACCGGGGGTGTGCCCACAACCAAGGCACATGCCCTTGACGGGAATAGAACCTGGGACCTTTCAGTCAGCAGGCCGACGCTCTATCCACTGAGCCACACCGGTTAGGGCCCCAATTACGTTTGCTAATGGGCAGCTTGGTGGAGGCTGTCCCTCGCCCGAGACACAGGTCAGGCGTGGTCTGTCTTTGGTGTAGGAGGGTGGGCCACGTGGCGGGGGCGGGGGAAGGCGGGCCAGTCCCGTCCTCCGCCTCCTGTGGGCTCCCCGTCCCCTAGCTGAGGGAACTGAGGGGGACAGGTGCTCTCCCTGCGGGAGAAGAGGAGACAAGCTCTGACCTTGAAAGGCGCCGGCTCAGAGGAGCGCCCCCGCCCCCCCCCCCCCCCCCCCCGTGAGGTGCCCGCTGCGGGAGCCGAGTCCTTAGGACTGGTGGACCCCAACAGGTGTCCTGAGGGGGCTGGCCCTCTGGCCGGCTCGTCCCTGCCCCTGACTTCACCCCTGCTCTGATGTCACAGCACAGCAGCTCCGCTGTTGCCATGGCAGCGGCCCGCCCGGTTCACCAGCTGGGCGGCCCAGGCTGCCAGAGGCGGTGGGAGCTGCGTTCCAGCCAGCCTGGGTCGGGGGCCCGGGCTGAGGCCCCGGTGTGTCCGCCCGCGCCGCTGCGGGGGTTCTCTGCGCCCAGCGGCCCGGTGAGGCGGCCGGGCTCCTCGATGGGGAGGGGCGGAGGGACTCTGACCCCGGCGGGGGCTGGAGCCTGTCAGGTCCGGGGACGCGGAGATGGACAGGGCAGACGGGTAGGAAGCCGCCCGTCGGCTCGGCCGTAAGTGGCCCACCTGGTAGCCCGGTGTCTCCCGGGGCGGGGCCGGGCCTGGTGTGCGTCTGTGAGCTGGTCCAGGAGGTGAGGTGACGTGAGCCCGGCTTGTCCCCGAGGCTCCCGCCGGGTGGGGAGATGGCCAGAGCGCCCCGAGCCGCGCCCGGATGTGGGGGAACCAGCTCAGGGCCTGGTGCGGACGCCTGTCCTGCCGTGGCCGCCCCCCCCCCCCAGCCCCCCGGTGATTCTGATGCAGCCGCCAGCACCCAGCCGGCTCCAGGTGCCGCCCGCCCCCAGCACCCAGCCGAGAGTCAGGAGGGGGCCGGAAGCGGAGCTCTGGGCAGCAGGCTGGGGGGCACAGCGTGTTTTAGAGGCTGGGGTCCCGGGAAAGGTTTTAAACGTTTCTGACGTTTGTTTTATCTGGGCTTGGCTTGGATGCCTCCAGTGATGGGTGTCTCACTACCTACCAACGCAGCCCAATGATTTCAGCACAGCCCCATAGAAAGCGCTTCTTTCCAGCCAGCCACTTCCTGCCTCTGATGTGCTCTCAGTGGTCTCGCTCCGTCATCTGGAGGCACGCACAGTAAGTACCCCCCTCCTCCTCAGACCGCTCGCCAGGCGTGTGGGTACGAGTGCTGGCCTCCCTATAGGTGAACGTTGCTATTATTTTTTTAATAATGTATTTTTTTATTTTATTTTATTTTATTTTATTTTATTTTACAGAGAGAAAGGGAAAGGGATAGAGAGAGAGAAACATCAGTCAGCTGCCTCCTGCACACCCCCCACTGGGATGTGCCTGCAAACAAGGTACATGCCCTTGACCGGAATCGAACCTGGGACCCTTCAGTCCATAGACTGAGGCTTTATCCACTGAGCCACACCGGTCAGGGCTGATGTTGCTATTACTGTGCCCGCCTTACAGATGAGCAAACTGAGGCACTGGCGTGAAGGAACGTACCTGGGTCACACAGCTTGCTGACACCCTCCGCCCTCCGGGCGAGCTGTCCGGACTCCATTCTCGCCTGCAGGCCCCTCCCAGCCGTTCTGACTTCCTCAGGGCGTTTCTTCCCAGGGCAGCTTTTCCATTCCGGCCCCGGCCCTGAGGCCACGGCCCCTCCTCCGGCCGCCCCGCTGCCTTTTCTGACTCCGGGAGGACACCGCGCTCTGTGCCCCGGGTTCTTGTCCGCGTGCGGAGGCACCGAAGTCTCATCTCCCGTGGATTTCTAACCAGGCTGATTTCTAGGCATCCCGGGAGGTGCATTCTGATCTTGAAATGCTCCCCCGACCCCATGACGCTGTATAACCGGGTGTTGCCAGATCCCGGCAGCTCTTACCTGTGCACAGTTGGCTAGACATGCGTCCGACGTCAGCCCTTGGCGGGTGGTCCGTCCTTTTTCTTCAACCCAAGTTGCGCTCCCCGTGTTCCCGTGCTCCGGCGCAGAGGGCCGGGCTGCGGGGAGCGGCTGCAGTCACACGAGGTGCGCGCTCTGGGCTGTTGTTACTGTTTCCGAAGGAAAACGGCGCCGGCCGCCGCCCGGCTGAGCGAGTGGGCCGAGGGCAGGCAGAGAGCTTCCCTGTTGCTGCTGAGGCGGGGGCGGGAGCGGGGCGGGAACGGGGGCGGGAACGGGGTGGGAACGGGGCGGGAACGGGGCTGGAACGCGGTGGCCGAAGGAGGAGCGGGGTCCGGTCTGGGCACTGGGGGGGGGGTGTGAGGGTGGGGGTGAGGAGGTGCCGTTTGAGGAAGAGGAACTGGGGAGTGCCGTTCAGGCTCCAGACCTGGGTGTGGGCATGTGAATGGCACGGAAGGGGTGTGAACCGTGACCTGCTGGACCAGCCCCAAGTGTGTGGGCAGGGGTGGCCCGCCAGGGAGAGGGTGAGCCGGGCGCGTTCCTGGGCGCCTCCCGCGGAGGCGGCCACGGGGCCGGCCTGGGGTGGGCCTGAGATCTGCATTTCAGCCAGCAGCTCGGGGCACGGGGCCGTGGCCTCCTGGTGTGGGTGCCGACGTCACGTAGCTGAATGGGGAGGGACTGGGGCTGTGGTGGGTCAGGTGTGGGTGTGGCCGGTCTGACTGGCAGTTCCTGAGGGGCTCAGCGGCTGGGGCGGGGGTGGGGGGAGAGCTGGCGAGGAGGGACAGATCCAGACGCGGGTACAGAGTGGACACCGTGTCCCGGCTTCGCTCTTGAGTGTGGTGCTCCATGGGAGCTCCGAGGCCACGGCATCTCACGGTGCCCAGGCCTGCCGGGCCGGAGCCAGAGCGGGCGCTCGGGAGGCCCGGCAGCACCGCTGGACCTCCTTTCCGGTGCAGGCAGACACTCGGAGGGGAGGGGTCTGTCGTGGATGCACCAGCCCCTTCGTGGCACCTGTCGGTCTCAGGAGGTCAGAGGTCAGGGGAGGACACATCCTGGCTCCCAGCTCTGACCTTCACCCTCACCAGCACTTATGGGCGGTTTGTTTTGTGTGCTTTTAAAAATAACATACTGTCATTGCTTTCAGAGAGGAAGGGGGAGGGGGAGTGAGGTAGAGAAACAACCACGATGGGAGAGTCCCTGATCCGCTGCCTCCTGCACGTCCCCCTCCTGGGGGTCTGGCCTGCAGCTCAGGCGCGCACCCTTCCCGGGAATGGAACTGTGACCTCCTGGTTCCTAGGCGGACGCTCCACCCCGGGGCCACGCCGGCCGGGCTCAGCTGTGGTTTCAGCAGCCGTGCCAGGGGCCTGGCGTCACGGCTCACTGTAGCTCCAGGCAGCCCTTCCCTCGTGACGGCTGACCTTGAACGTCCACGCCTGGCTTGGCGCGCACCTGTCTTCTTTGCTGAAAGGCCGTTTCCATCTTGGCCGTGGGGAGCGGCTGCTTGTGCTCCGAGCGCGTGTCCGGGGGCCGGTCTCGGCGTGTGTGTGATTCGTGGCGTTGCCTCCCAGCCGGCCCCGTGTTGTTCCGGGTCAGGGACGGCGTCTGAAACGTGAAGGTCATTCAGGCCGGCGGGTGCCTGGGTGCTGGGTGCTCGGTTGACCCAGCTGTGGCTGACCCGGCTGTGGAGGGCACTGCCGCTCCCTCCTGGGAGGCCCTGGCCCACGCCGGTTGCTGTTGTGTGAGGGGCGTGGCCCTGCCTCTGGGGACATAAGCGTCTGGAATCTTCTTTCTCACACGGGGATGGCCAGCGGAGCCAGCAGCGTTTTTCGGGGGGAACTGGGATCCCCTGCGGCCCCCTTTCGGTGCTGTCAGAACCTGGGTGCTGTGTCCGTGAGCCCCCCCCTCCCCTCATGGTGGCGGGAGGCCTCCTGGCGTCGGACTTGAGCCACTCTGCAGGAGACCCGCCTCGCGGGTCACAGCCCTGGACTGACCTGAGCGGCAGAGGGCCTGTCTCTGCCGCCTGCCAGCTGTGTGATCCAGGTTCCCCTGCCTCAGTTTCCCCACCTGTGAACCCAGAGTGACAGTCGCTCCTCACCTCAGAGGTTACCACACAGAAGTGCCCGGAGCGGGCTGCAGTCACCGTGGCGGCTCCTTGGTTGAGCTGGGGCCCCTGGGGGCCTCCCGGGTTCTGCTCCATGGCTCAGCCCCCGCCCCCCCCCCCAGACCAAGTGAGGGCCCAGGGAGCCCCTCCTTAGCCCCAGGCGGGCGAACGCACCCTCCCCTGGGCGGGCCTGAGCCCGTGGTCCTTCTGCTGCCCAAGAGCCCTCCTCGGAGGATTCCACGAGCAGAGGGCTGGGAGCCATGACAACAGGAGTAACCCAGCTTAGTCTCCTCTCTGATTGGTTGGCATCGGGTTCTAGTACCAAACGTGCACACACGCAGACTCACCTGCATGCACACATGTACACACACATGTACACACATGCACTCCCATTCCCCCACACACACCTGCACAGGTCTCCCCAACTCCCTGCGCGCACACACACACACACACACACACACGCACACACACCCTGAGTAGCTAGCTGCTTCCCCTCCACTCCATTCTCCTTTATTTTTTTGTAAAGAATCTTTATTGGTTTCAGAGAGGGAGAGGGAGAGAGACAGAAACACCAACACCAGTGAGGAGGGAGAGGCATGGATTGGCTGCCTCCTGCATCACCCCAGTTGGGGATGGAGCCCACAACCCGAACATGCGCCCTGACCGGGAATTGAACCATGACCTCCTGGTTCATAGGTTGACGCGTAAGCCCTGGGCCACACGGCCGGGCCCTCCCTCCACGTGTGAGTAACTCTCCCTCCCGAAGGCCCTTTGACCGGCCCACCTGGTTGAAGACGGTGCCCGCCGGGACCGTGGGGAGGTGTGCAGCACAGACACGGAGACCGAGCGCAGGCCCGGGGGCAGGTGTGGGGGAGGGAGCGGCAGGGGCTCCTCGGCCTGGCCCCCCTCACCCCGAGCCCCTGTGCCTTGTCCCCAGGGCCTTGCTCGCGCTCCGGGCAGTGGCGAGCACCCCCCTGCCCTCACGGGCCTGACGTGGACCGGCCGTGGCCTCTGTGGCTCCTCGGGCCCCCGCTCCCACCAGCGTCCCTCTGATGCCATGGCCGCCAAGACCCCCCACGTGAAACGGGGGGCGGAGAGAGCCGCCCACCAGAGCCCCCATCCCGACGACCAAGCCCTGCTCCTGAGGCCGAATCACAAGCTGCTGCCGGTCCGAGAGCGGGGCCGCCCGGCCGTGCAGAGGCGGCCGGACCCGGGGCCGTGGCGGAGCCCGCCTCCGCAGCACTGGGCCGCCGCGCAGTGGCCCGGCCGGCAGGACGGCCGCCAGCAGCGCGCCCGCGGCCCGGACCGGCCGCACCCGGCGCACCCGCCCGGCCCCGGGCGCTGCTGGCCCGCGGGGGCTCGGCCTGAGCCCCAGGGGCCGCCGGCACGGCGAGGGGCCGCCGGGCGGCCGCGGGCCCGGGAGAAGCAGAGAGCGGCCGGCCGGGGGGAGAAGCGCCGGCAGGAAGACCTGGTGCGGCTGCGGCCCCGGCCGCTCAAGTCCCGGAAGACGGCGGCGGGCGACGAGGAGAAGGGGGCCGGCAGGGCGGGGGGCCTGCCCCGCCTCGCCCCGGGGCCCCCCGAGAGGAGTAAAGGGAAGCGGGGGCCCTCGAAGACCTGCAGCGGCAGCCGCCGCCCCGAGCCGCGGGCGCCGGGAGACCTGGACGTGGGGGCGCTCTGGGCCGCGGCGGGCGGCATGCTCCTGGGCGACCGGGAGGAGGACGGCGCCCCCGCCGGGATGAGGGTGCCGGCGAGGTCGGCCCGCCTGCCTCCGGGCCCCTGGGGCCAGGAGGACGAGCTGGAGCCGCGGTGGCCGGGCGGCGGGGCCTGGGGCCGGGCCGCCTCGCCCCCGCCGTCCCCGCGCCCCCGCCGTGAGGGCAGCCGGTGGAAGCGGGAGCTGGAGTCGGTCTTCCGGGAGCTGTTCAGCACCAACCGGAAGCTGAAGACGCACCTGAACCGCTACCTGGAGTCCCAGTCGGGCACGGACACCTGCCCCAGCGAGAAGCGGGCGGCGGACCCGCTCACGGAGCTGGGCCTGGGCCCCGCGGCGCCCGCCGCCCGCCCCGCGGCGCCCAGCGCCAACCTGAAGGAGCTGCTGCGCCAGCTCAAGGACCGGCAGTACCTGCGGATGGTGGAGCCCCTGTTTGCGGACGCGGGGGGCCTGGCTCCGCACCCCGAAGAGGAGGCCCTGCCCTGGTGCAGCCTGCCGCCCCTGCATGAGCCGCCCAGGCCCGACCCGCTCCTGCCGCAGCTCCCCCCGCAGGCTCTGGCGGGCAGGGCCGGCCCAGCGGCCTGGCCGAGGCAGAGCCCGGAGCAGAGGTGGCGGCCGCAGCTGGTGGAGGTGCACGAGGTCCCGCAGCTGAGCTGGGAAGCCCTGGGCACGCCCCTGGGGGCGCCAGGAGAGGAGACGGAGATGACGGAGACGGAGCCGGAGCTGCGGGCCCTGACCAGACCTCACCCCGCTCACCTCCCGGGGTGCACCCCTCTGCGCCTGGAGGAGCCTCGGGGATGTGCGCGCGGCACCCCCGCCCCCGCCCCGTCCCCGCCGGCCGCCAGCAGCGAGGAGGAGGAGGAGGACGATGACCGTGGGCACAGCCAGATGATCCGTGACCTCCAAGAGCAGATTCTAGAGCAAAGCAAGTCGCACAAGCAGTTTCTCGACCAAGCCCGGCGGCGCCTGAAGGAGTTCCAGAGCGAATGCTAGCGAGCGCACCGGGGCAATACAGCACTGAGCTCTGTGCCAACCGACCGCGTGGTGAGGCGGACCTGTGTTGGCGTCGCCGGCCCGTTACATGCTCTTGACCGGAATCGAACCCGGGACCCTTCAGTCCTCAGGCCAACCCTCTATCCACTGAGCCACACCGGTTTCGGCTGGTGACATTCTTGTAGTGAATATTACTAAAGTTGGAGGAAGCAGAGAGAGGGAGGAGGAGGAGGAAGAGGAGGAGGGAGACAGAGAAAGGAAAATGGGTCCCAGCCACTTGCACTAGGGCGTGACCCTCCGGGCTGCCGCTGGTGGGAACCCGGGTGTCTGGTCAGTACACACACACACACACACACACACACACCCCGCCCCGCTTTACCTCTGACTCCGCTGCCATGGAACCCCACACTGGGACACGGGGCGGGGCTGGGGACTGGGACAGGGGGACAAACATTTCCCATGAAGAGCCTGAGAGGAGCTAGTTTTGGGGCTCGGCTCCACACCCCGCGCGGGCGGCAACAGTGGGCGGGCGGCCTGAGTGCCAGGAAGAACTGGTTTACAAAGACATGGGCTGGACATGGCTGGGAGCCGCAGCCTGCTGACCCCGGACCAGCCTATCGGGAGACGGTGCCCGCCCCCTACTCCGAGGTCCCCCTGGATCGCACACCCTCACCAGGACACGCATTGTCTGTGAGCGGCCTCATCGCCTGTAGACAAACCGGGAAGAGCCCTGAGCCCCCGGGCACACCCGTGCACGCCTGACACCCGGGCACACCTGGGCACACCCGAGCACGTCCTGTGGGACCCGGGCTGCCGGCTACAGAGCGGCTTCTGCCTGTGACGTCCCTCCCTGCTGCTCCCCGGGTGCAGGCCTGCTTCCCCACGGGGCTCCCATTCCACCAGGCACGTGGACACGCATGCGCGCGCGCGCGCACGTACACACACACACAGCATGGAGCACGGAGCTATTGTGTTCACTTGTGTTTGAGCTTCGTGAAAAGGCCGTGATGTCACGTGTCCTGGGCCTCGGGACAGCCACTTCCTCCATGTCACACGTGGCTGCCGCCTCCTGCCCCACGTGACGCCCGGAGCCTTCTTCCCGGGGTCCCAGCTTCTCTGCCGAGTCTTTCCCCCAACGAGAACGGGGTCCCAGCTTCTCTGCCGAGTCTTTCCCCCAACGAGAACGGCACCCCTAAAGCCTCTGGGGCCGGAGCGCATGGGCCGTTCCGAGCGCCACGCTGGGCCGAGGCCGAAGGTCGGGGGCTCCTTTTTTCCATCTTCACCTTTTTAAATTCCCCGGAGTGCGTGGGCTGGATCTTCCCATTTCTCCTTGTTTCATGGAGGCAGGTGCTGCCCAGTCTCCGGGGTCACGGGGTGCACACACTGGCCACCCCGCACTCGGTCCCGGTGGAGGGGACGAGGTGGCCCTGGTGAGAGGCACCGGCAGGTCCGGTGACTGAACGGGGTTGTCCCCGAGGAACCCTGAGGAGAACCCAAGCCCCCACACTGGCCCCTGGGGGGCAGCCAGCCTCCTGAGGCGGTGTGAGTTCTGGTGTTTGGTGGTGTGGGCGAGGCCCCTCCCAGCGGCCCCCGCTCCATCCTGGGGTGCCGCTGTCCGGCTTTCCCCTGGCCGTGGGGAGAGCGGGCTGCAGAGCACTCGTGTGGCCGGGAGGGCTGCGAGGGGGTGGCTGCGGGCTGAGGCTCAGCCCCGTGTTAGAAGCCTCCGTGTGGGTGGCCCTGGGCCCGGGTGCTGTGGGGTCACCGGGTGTAAGCCGCAGCCGCCGGCACCCAAACACTGAGTCACGAGGCACCTCACACGGCCTGGAAGCCCGCCCGGGTGGGTTATTTTTGTTCCCAATTTCAAAGGTAAAGTTTGTGGCCCCTGCACCGTAGGGGAGAGCGCCCCTTCGGAGCTAAAAGGGGATGTGGGGGGCGGGCAGCGCGACGGTGCGGGCTGACTCACCTCTGCCCGGCAGGCCCGCCCTCAGAAGGCGGTGTTGGGATCGGACGTGACCCCGAGTTCCGGTACTGCCGTAGTGTGAGTGCGCGTCCGGAACCTCAGACACGTAATGAAGGGAAGAGGAGACGTTCAGAGCTGCGGGCCTGGGCGCCTCCGACCCGATCGTCCTCCCGGGAGCAGGCGGCACCCTGTCTCTGCACACAGCACGCCCCCGCGGCACCCTGCAGACGGGGTGTCTGGCCGGCCCTGCCCAGGCTGGAGACGGGGGTGGGGTGAGGCGCTGCTGGGCTGTCGGGCACCCCACACCCCCCCGCTGAGGCTTATCTGCAGAGCTGAGCGGCGAGGGCCAGAGAGAGCCATGGGCACCAGCGCCCTGCAAGGTGGACGCTGGGCCTCGGCCTCCACATCCCCGTGTCTGTCTCCTGCCGGAGACGCCTCAGAGCCAGGCGCACAGTGCGTGTGTGGCTCCGTCCCCGAACGAGGCCGCTTGGGGAGCGCAGAGCTGCCGAGGGCACAGCCACCCTGGCTGCGCGGGCAGGACCTGGGCTGCTGCTGCCCCTTCGCTCCGAGCCGCCCGCCCTGCCTCTCCGGCCCTCCCAGCCTGTGGTGGAGGGGGAGGAGGGGGGAGAGGGTGGAGGGGAGGGGGGGAAGGGGAGGAGGGCAGGCCCTGTGCAGCCCCCCTGCCACGGCGCCCGCCCGCCCGCCCGCCGCCGCTGCAGGCTTGTGGCTCGCAGGGCCGAGGGGCCGGGCTTGGCGAAGAGGGAACGCAGCCCCCACAAAGCCGCTCTGTTCTCGCAGCCCCTCCCCGGCCGGTGCATTTTTCTCCCATGATTCAGCAGCACGTGAACGGCAGGGCTGAGCCCCTGGCTGCGGGCATGTGACCAAGGCCTGTGGCATAAGGTCCCGCTGGGCCCATGGGGAGAAGGGCGGAGGGTGCCGGGCTGGGGTCGGGGTCCTGCCAGGGCCCCGGGGGGGGGGGGGCGGAGGGGGGCATGGGCTGTGGACCGTTTCCTCCGGCTCCAAGGTCAGGGCTGGGGAGCACAGGGATGGGAGAGCTGGTCTCCATGGAGACGGACATCCCGTGGACGGCCCTGGGCAGACTGGCAGGCCCCAGGGGCCAGGCTCACAGGCAGCGGGGCTGGGGCCGCACCAGGCGCCCTCCCTGCCCCCCCCCCCCCCCCCCCGCTCTGAGCAGTTCCTGTTCTGGCATTCCTGCCCCTGACCGGGGTCACTCCGGCCAGCCTTGCCCTCGCCCGGACGGGCACGGCCCTGCCCGAGCTGGGGACGTGGTCGGTTCCTGAGGACGGGAGGGTGCGGGCCCTGAGGGGGTGTGGCCTCTCGCAGCCGCTGTAGGGACCTCGGTTCCCCCTGCCCAGGGCTGTTTCTAATTACCGAGCGACAGCCCCTTTTTCCGCATTTCCCTAAAAGGAGTGGGCTCGGAGGCCTGCTCCACCGCGGCCGAGGGGGCTGGGGGAGGCCGGGAGAGCTGGGGGAGTCCCCCGCCCCCCCACACACACACTGCGGGCACCTGGACGTGGGGCTGGGTGGGCAGTGGGGCTGCAGGGGCAGACGGGGCCGGTGGGGCCGGAGCCTCCCTCGGACTCGGCACCGAGCCAGCACTGACGTCATGCCCTCCTGTGACATCTCCGGGCTGCTCGGCCGCACCCGTTCCTCCTGCCCCGTGGGTCTGCGGTCTGCGGGCACAGGCCCCTCTCCAGGCCCCGGCCCTCCGGCCCGGGGCAGCCCCCTGCTCGCGAAGCAGACGCGGGCCCACGGGAGGGTGCACCGTGTCTGCTGTGCCCCCCCATGCCCTCGGCGGTGAGCCAGGCACAGGCCAGCGGCTCAGGGTCCTCCGTCTCCGAGGGCAGGGACCCTCCCCGGTGGCAGCGGAGCTGGGTGCAGGCATGGGGGCCCGGCACCCTGCGGTTAGAGGGCGGATGTCTCCTCCCGGTGCCCTCGGGGGAGCGGAGGCAGAAGCATGGAGCCTTCCTGCTCCCCCAGGACCCCAGTAGGGTGCCTACTGGGGAGCCCAGCCCCCCGCCAGCCTGGAGCGCACGGGGGCTGGTTCCCACCGTTTGAACGCCTCCGACACGACTGGCACGTCCTTCTACCCAGAGGCACAGGAGTGGCCACATGACGGACGAGGCCAGGCGCGATGCCACCTGCCCCCACTGCCCCTAGGACACACGCATGCTCTGCGGGCACCGGCCATCTGCCCCCAGGAAACACTCATGCTCCGCGGGCACCGGCCACCTGCCCCAGGACACACGCATGCTCCGCGGGCACCGGCCACCTGCCCCCAGGACACACGCATGCTCCGCGGGCACCGGCCTCCTGCCCCAGGACACGCATGCTCTGCGGGCACCGGCCTCCTGCCCCAGGACACACGCATGCTCTGCGGGCACCGGCCGGCCACGCGGCGGCTCCCGCGCTCAAACCAGGCCCCAGCGTGCCAGCCAGCGGTCACTCCGGTCGCTGCGGGGGATGACCCGCCCTCCCAACCTCCCTCTCTTGATGGGGCCAGTAGGGTCTTTGGCAAACGTGCTGGCCAGTCCCCCAGGTTCCTCCCACAGGGAGTAACACGGCGCCAGGGCCCTCATGGGGGAGCCGCCGGGCACTTCCCCGGAGCTGTGGGCAAAGCCAAGAGCACGTGTCGCGTCCCTCTGGAGGCCTGGGGGAGGGGGAGGGGGGGCCGGGACGTGCCCTCTGCTGGCCCCGAGCCACCCGGCCCGTCTGAGTCAGGGCCCGGGCTCTGACCTCGCAGGAGACGGATGTTTTTCCGAATCCTGAGATTCTCGCACCTCATCTGGGCAACCCTGTGACTTTCCCTCCGCCAGGCTCTGCCTCCGGGCGGGGGGGCAGGGTTTGGAGCCGAGGGCCAGGGCCCAGGCCGTGGCACCGCATGGCACGCGTGCATGCCCAGGGCCCTCCCGTCCTCGGGGGTGGCAGCCAAGCCGGAGCCGGAGCCGGAGCCGCCCGGGAAAGGCCCCAGGCAGCACCTGCACGGGGCCCGGGTGTTCCAAGATGAGGAGAGTTCACCCCGGGCCCTCCGTGCCTCTCAGAGGCAGCTCTCCGTCCGGCCCCCGAGAGTGCACACGGCTTGTAGGGGTGCAGCAGGGTCAGAGGTGTTGGGAGGGGCGGGAGCGGACCCCGAGGTTTCCCCAAACGTCCTCGCTGCCCCCTCGCCGTCCCCTGCCCCTCGTGACGGTGGAGACAGCCTGGCCTGCCCGTCTCCCCAGGGGCCCTGCGGCCACTCGCTCTGCCCGTGACGCTGACTTTCCGGCCTCCCCGCCCACGGCTGGCGGCGGGGTTGTTTGTGCAGCTCGGGGAGGAAGTGGCGTCATGCGGCCCGGGTGGGGGCGGGGCTGTGCGGTCCAGCAGCCGGCATCTGGCGGGAATTCGTCAGCCCGCGGGTCACCCTGGCCCCAGCCCAGCTGCTGGGCGGCCGGCGGCCGGGAAAGAAGGAAGCAGCAGCGAAATCTGAGCGGCCGGCGGTCTCCCTCCTGCTCCCTCTGCCTCCTGCAGAGCAGCCGCTGCGGGGCCAGCATCAGGCCCAGCACACAGTAGGTGTTCAGTAAACACGAGTCTAGGCCTGGGGTTTAATTTTTAAAAATATGTTTTTATTGATTTCAGAGAGGGAGAGGGAAACATCCACGATGAGAGAGTCATTGGCCGGCTGCCTCCTGCCCGTCCCGCACCCCAGCCGTGTGCCTTTGGAACTGTGACCTCCTGGTTCATGGTGACACTCAGCCACTGAGCCACACTGGCCGGACTCCCCATTGATGTTTCTCTCTTCCCCCTCCCGCTTCTCTGAAACCAGTAAAAACAAGGGAGAGGCAGAGGGCCTGGCTCCAGCGAGACTCCCGCAGCCCCGGCAAATGCCTTCCGGACCCGGGGGGCACCCGTCCTGCCGGCGCCAGGGGTCGACGGGGGCAGCACTGGGGGTGGCAGGGAGATGCAGAGCTTTGGAAACGGACCCACCCAGGCCCACCAAAGCAGCGGCAGCAGCTGCAGGCGGGCACCAGATTGCAAAGCGTTTCCTGTTTTGGACGCGGGCAGCGGGCAGCCGAGGTGGATGGGGGAGTCAGGAGGGCCGTGACCACAAGCCCCTGGTGCTGGTGGGGAAGACGCCGGACGACGGCTGCTTCCCAGGAACAAGCCCTCGGGGGCGGCCCGGGCGGCGTCTCCCAGCCGAGGCCTCGCGGGCTGGGCTGGCCCCGGCTGGGCCCGCCATGGCTCGGCTCCCGCAGAGGAAATAGAATGGGGCTGGGCCTGGGCGGGCTCCGGCCCCAGGCTGAGATGTAGAGGGCACTTGGGGTCCTGAGACCTGAGTCTGCCTGGGGGTGGGGGTGGGGCGGGGGCAGGACGCCCGTCTGCACGAACACACCCTTACGCCAGCGACCTGCAGGGCCGCGTGTCGCCGGGCGGAGCTGAGAGCCGTGAGGACGGTTGGTGGCACCAGCCGATGCGCCTGGGAATGCCCCGTGGCTGCGTGAGCCCTGGTCCCCGAGTTGTCGGGCTACGGGGAGCGGCCGAGTGCTGGCCTAATTGCCTCGCTGCTGCCCCTTCTGGTGCCGTCCGTCCGTCCGTCCGTCCGCCTGCCCCCTCACGTCCGCGTCCTGTGCTTTGCAGTGATCAGGGCCAAGGTGGTGAGCGAGAAGGAGGTGGGCTCCGGTGAGGATGTCTACGGCAACCCCATCAAGAGGATCCAGTACGAGATCAAGCAGATCAAGGTGAGGAGGGGGCGGGGGGACGTCAGAGTGAGGAGACGACGCAGAGTGCGTCCACCCCGATCCGGATGCCCCCACCGCCCACCCCGACGGGAGGCGCCCTCCCGCTGGGCCTGCCCGCAGCCAGCTGTCCCAGGAACGCAGTCTGGGCCCCAAGCACCCGGCGGAGTGGTGCCCCTTGACCAGGAAATGCCAGGGGAGCTGATTGGACGTGCTGTGGCCCCACCCCCGGATTATTTTGAACCGGGTTCTCTCCATTTCGATGGGGGTGGGCCTGGAGCCCACATGCCGCCCCCTTTCTTTGCACCCAGCTTCCCTGGGGCTGCACCCCAAAACGGGGTGGAGCCAGCGTCCTCAGTCCCACTGCCGTCCTGTCCCTGCCTGTGACCGCCCCCGGCGTGGCTTTCTCACGTCCTGCTGGGGGGCCTCTCTGCCTGGCCCCCCCTGAGCCTGGAAGCGTGCAGGGCGGGGCGGGGGTCCTCCGTGCAGGTCAGTCCCTGGAGACCGCCAGTCCCCGCAGACATCCCGAAATGACCCCCTGGTGGCGGCCCGAGGCGCGCCCTCCGGGGGCATTAGCGCGGCCTGTGGGCAGCAGCCACGCCGAGCGAGGAGTGACCCCGAGGAGTCGCCCGCAGAGGGAACGGGTGTGCTGTCCGCCCCCGGGCACGTGCTGGGGTGCCCGGCCACTCGCTGACCCGGGCCGCCTCGTCTTCCCAGATGTTCAAGGGGCCTGACCGGGACATCGAGTTCATCTACACGGCCCCCTCCTCCGCCATCTGCGGGGTCTCGCTGGACGTCGGAGGCAAGAAGGAGTATCTCATCGCAGGTGCGCGCCGCGCGGACACGGCGAGGGGCGGGGCGGGGGCGCTGGGCGGGGCCTCGGCGCTGGGCGGGGCCTCCGGGCTGTCCTGCCTTCTCTTTCTTCCTCCTGTTTGTTTACTAGCAGCCGGGCTCAGTCCTCCCAGCGGTGGCGGCTTGCCTCGGCCCTCCCTCGCAGCCCCGACTGCACCCGGAAGGTCCTTAGGCCACCGGTCTAATTAGCATATTACCCTCTTATCGTTGTAGATTGACTTTAGAGAGAGAGAGAAAGGAGGGGGAACGAGGTTGCTTTGTTGTCCCACTATGTGTGCATATTCATTGGTTGCTTCTTGTTTGTGCCCTGACCCGGAACTGAACCCCAAACCTTGGTGTTTGGGGTGCCTTTCCCAGGGAGAATTTCTGGTGCACGGTCCCCTCCCGCCTCCCCCGGGCACCCCTTCCCCTTCTCACACAGTGGCACCTGGAGTTCGATGGGAAGCAGCAGTGACCAGGAGGGGCCGGGAGGTCGGGCGGAGACAAAGGGGCCTGGGAGGTTGCTGGGGGCCTCCAGGCTGGGCCGGGGGACAGGAGTGGTGGTGATGGGGGGAACCTCGGTTGGAATCTGTCTGTGTGATTGTGCACCCGCATCTCCGTGGTGCATCGTGGGCAAAGCCACAGCACATGCATGAACTGTTGTCACCGTTTCTGAGGGAGGGGGAGGGCTGTGGCCTGTCCGGTCCCCCCTCCCGCCGGCGCCCACGCCCGGCACCTGCCTGAGTTTCCTTCTGCTCACTGAGACGGGCTCCTCTCCTCGGACGATGGAGGTTCCGACCATCCTCGCGGCTTTAGGAGCCTCTGCTATTGGTGGGCAGCCTCCCTGCGATGTAACCCGCACCCCTCAGTTCTCCCATAGACGGCGTGTGACTGGTTTTGGCGTTGATGGGGCTGTGCAGCCACCCCCGAGTCGAAGTGTTGTACCCCCGCTCTTGCCCCCCCCAAACCCCTTGCCGTTGCCCAGCTACACCCGTCCTGCCTCCCCATTCATCCTCGGGGGGTGGGCGGTGTTGCTGCGTGGACGTGTTGGCACCGCTCCGGCGGACACCAGCCGTGGAATCGCGAGACAGATGGTGACTCTGTTTATCGTTCGAGGAGCCGCCAGACGGCTGCCCGCGGCAGCTGCGCCGGCTTCCCTCCCGGCTCGGCTATTTTCACAGGGGAAGCGCCATCCCACGGAGCGGGGGTGGGGGACACATCGGGATGCAGCGATCGGAGGCCGAGGGGCCGCCGTGGCAGGGAGGCGGCGAGGCTGCTGGTGCGCCGGCACAGTGCAGGCGTCCCCGCGGCCTTAGGGGCCCGGCCCGCGCAGCCTGCGCCCAGGACAGCGGAGGCAATTCATCGTCACTCACGTCTCCTTTTCGGTTACTTTTATGATGCGCTCCAGAGAGAAGAGAAAGAGGCTAAGCCTCCCGGGGTGCAGGGAGCTTGCTGCTGTGGCCAGTCGGCAGCCACTGGTTTGCGGGCCCTCGGTGCTGCTCCTCTCTGAGCTGCTCCTTCTCTGTGCTGCTCCCTCTGTGCTGCTTCCTCTCGGTGCTGCTCCCTCTCGGTGCTGCTCCCTCTCGGTGCTGCTCCCTCTCAGTGCTGCTCCTTCTCTGTGCTGCTTCCTCTCGGTGCTGCTCCCTCTCTGAGCTGCTCCTTCTCTGTGCTGCTCCCTCTCGGTGCTGCTCCCTCTCGGTGCTGCTCCCTCTCGGTGCTGCTTTCTCTCGGTGCTGCTCCCTCTCGGTGCTGCTCCTTCTCAGTGCTGCTCCCTCTCGGTGCTGCTCCCTCTGTGAGCTGCTCCTTTGTGCTGCTCCTTCTCTGTGCTGCTCCCTCTCTGTGCTGCTCCTCTTGGTGCTGCTCCCTGAGGACCCACACAATGAAGCGAGGGGCAGAGCCGGGGTGCAGGCTCCATCTCTGCTGGGTCGGGGTGTGGACAGGAGGCACCGTCGGCGTGTTTCTCTCCTATGGGTGATTCTCTCTGTCGCTCCCCCGCCTTCCACTGTCTCTAAAACTTAACGGAGCCCGGGCCTGGGTGGCGCAGTCAGTTGAACGTTGTCCCGTGCAGGAGAAGTCTACTGTTCCATTCCTGGTCAGGGCCCCGGGTGGCAGGCTCCCCCCAGGAGGCAGCTGATGTCTGTTTCTCTCCCTCTCCCTCTCCCTCCCTTCCTCCTCTCCTCTTTCTCCCTCTCCCTCTCCCTCTCCCTCTCCCTCTCCCTCTCCCTCTCCCTCTCCCTCTCCCTCTCCCTCTCCCTCTCCCTCTCTCTCTCTCTCTCTCCTCTCTCCCTCTCTCTCTCTCTCCCTCTCTCCCTCTCTCCCTCTCTCCCTCTCTCCCTCTCTCTCTCCCTCTCCCTCCCTTCCTCCTCTCCTCTTTCTCCCTCTCCCTCTCCCTCTCCCTCTCTCTCTCTCTCTCTCTCTCCCCCTCTTTCTCCCTCTCCTCTCCCTCTCCCTCTCCCTCTCCTCTCTCCCTCTCCTTCCTCTCTCTCTCTCTCTCTCTCTCTCTCCTCTCTCTCCTCTCTCCCTCTCTCCCTCTCTCCCTCTCTCCCTCTCTCCCTCTCTCCCTCTCTCTCTCCCTCTCTCTCTCCCTCTCTCTCTCCCTCTCTCTCTCCCTCTCTCTCTCCCTCTCCCTCTCTCTCTCCCTTCCTCTCTCTCTAGACATCAATAACAACATTTAGAAAATGAAAGTGACTGGGAAAATATCCTTGGGTGAGGAGTAACCAAAAACAAAAATAAGATGAGCGCCTGAGAGGTCGCACCGCCCTCTAGGGGCTGTCTGCCCAAGCTGCAGGGTTGCAGGCGCTGGTGAAGGAGGCAGTGGTGTGACCTTGGTCTGCACACTTGCCTGTTCTGGAATCCTGTGTGCCCTTTGCCAACCCGACCCCGTCCCTGGCTCAGTGGCCGCCCCGGGTGAAACCGGCGAGGACCTGCTAAAGCAGAGGTTCTGAACCTCTCTCTCCCGGAGCCGGGGGCTCCCCAGGCATCACGGGGAGCAGCCCCTGGCGCACTGGCTGCCGCCGGGGAGTGACCCCATGGCCGGGCAGCCCGCCCCCTTCAGGGCTGGGGACTCCCCGTCACCTGTCAAGTTGGACACGCATGTTTGGGGCCCCTCAGAGAACCGGCCCTGTGGTTTTCTCCCCCAGTCCTCTCCAGCCCCACAGGAAGAATAAACACGCAACCCTCAGCTACAAATTGTAATGGATTCCTGTGTTTCTGCACCCAAGACAGACTTCGCTTATTGTTAATCGCAGACGCGCATAGAGTGTTATAGCAGGTGCTCGAGCCAGGCATGCCCACGCAAGTCTTTTTATTTTTTTTATTTCTTATATTATATATATGTATGTATATATATATATATGTAATTGATTTTTTACAGAGAGGAAGGGAGGGGGATAGAGAGAAACATCGATGAGAGAGAAACATCAATCGGCTGCCTCCTGCACACCCCCTACTGGCAATGTGTCCGCAACCAAGGTGCATGCCCTTGACCGGAATCAATCCTTGGGACTCTTTAGTCTAGGGGTGTCGAACTCAATCAGAGAAGGGGCCAAAATCTAAAATCCAGCCTAAATCGCGGGCCGAATGGTTTACTGAACAGTCATAAACTGTCATTGTGATGGAAACGCAGCGGAGTGCAGTGATGACAGCGCGGTGCGGGCCACATTGCAAGGCCTGGCGGGACGGATTTGGCCCGCGGGCCTTGTGTTTGACACATGTGCTTTAGTCTGCAGGCCAATGCTCTATTCACTGAGCCAAATCGGTTAGGGCTTTTATTTTTTTTTTAAATATGTTTTTATTAATTTCAGAGGTGAATGGAGGACAGAGAGAGAAACATCGATGGTGAGAGAGAAGCAATGATGGGCCGCCTCCAGCACGCCCCACCCGGGGGAGCGAGCCCACACCCCGGGCCTGTGCCCTGACCGGGAATCGAACCCTGACCTCCTGGTTCATAGGTCACTCGACCACCGAGCCACACAGCTAGGGCACGACTCTGCCCTCCGCCCATAGCACTGTCAGAATGACACTCCGTGCCCGGCCACACCGGCTGCTGAGGGGCAGGAGGGAGCCGGCGGCGTGCCCGTGCTGAGCTCGGCAGCCCCCTCTCTCCCCAGGAAAGTCCGACGGGGACGGCAAGATGCACATCACGCTCTGTGACTTCATTGTGCCCTGGGACACCCTGAGCACCACGCAGAAGAAGAGCCTGAACCACAGGTACCAGATGGGCTGCGAGTGCAAGGTGAGCCGCCGCCTCCGGGCGCACGCCAGGCTTTCTCCCCTGGCTTTCCCGCCTCCCCGTGCCCAGGGCCTCCCAGCGCCCAGGGCCCCGACTCAGCTCAGGACTCCGGGAGGTGTGGCGCCCAGGGCCTCCCCGCGTCCAGGGCCTCCCCGCGCCCAGGGCCCTGACTCAGCTCAGGACTCCGGGAGGTGTGGCCTTCCCGCGCCCAGGGCCTCCCCGCGCCCAGGGCCTCCCCGTGCCCAGGGCCCTGACTCAGCTCAGGACTCCGTAGGTGTGGCCTCCCCGCGGGTGAGGCCGTCGGTGGGGACAGAGCCCTGAGGCGCGCCTCTGCCGAGGGGGGTCCCTGCCGAATGACCGCAGCTTCCGGGAGGAGCAGTTTGGGGGAGAATGGGGGCCCTGGGTATTTTCTGCCGGGAGGAATGTCAGCACTTGTTCCATGATGGCCTGGTTACAGCTCTGCAGCGTCCCAGCCATTTTCACGCGTGGGCCCTGGTGAGCGTGGGCCCTGGTGAACGTGGGCCCTGGTGAGCGTGGGCCCTGGTGAGCGTGGGGGCCAGACACCCAGCCCCCTTCTCACTAAGTGGCCAGAGGTGGTGCTGTACAGCGAGAGCGTCGCCAACACTCTTTAAAAAACGTTTTAAATACATTTTTATTGGATTCAGAGAGGAAGGGGGAGGGAGAGAGAAAGAAACATCCATGATGAGAGAGAATCCTGGACCGGCTGCCGCCTGCTGCCCCCTCCTGGGGATCAAGGCCCCAACCAGGGCCTGTGCCCTGACCGGGAATCGAACCCTGACCTCCTGGCTCATAGGTAGACGCTCAGCCTCTGGGCCCGCGGTTGTTGCTGGGACTCACCTCCCCCCGGAGGGCGGGCTCAGGCAGGGCTGCTGTGCCGGGTGCAGAGAAGGCAGACCAGCCGCCCAGCGTGGAGGCGCGCCGTGGCGGGGGTCCTGACGGAGTCCCCCTTCCCGCCCCCAGATCACACGCTGCCCCATGATCCCCTGCTACATCTCCTCCGTGGACGAGTGCCTGTGGATGGACTGGGTGACGGAGAAGAGCATCAACGGGCACCAGGCCAAGTTCTTCGCCTGCATCAAGAGGAACGACGGCTCCTGCGCCTGGTACCGCGGGGCGGCGCCGCCCAAGCAGGAGTTCCTGGACATCCAGGACCCGTAGCCGCCCGCCGCCGCCCGGAGGCGCCGAGCGCAGGGCCCGCCCCTGGAAACCGCATGAATAAACCGTCCTCCAACGGGTCCACGTCCGTGTCATTCTCCCCTAGCTCCCTGTGCGCGGCTGCGTCCTGGGGGAGAGGCGGGTCCCCCCTGCGCCCCCGCCCGGCTCTGCCGCCCGGCCTCCGCCCTGGCTGCGGGCAGGGGGACCCGGCTCCCTCCCAGGCCCAGCCTGGTGCTGCCACAGACGCTGAGCGGGCAGCACCCCGGGGTCCCTCCCCGGCCTGGCCGAGGCAGAGCCTGGACGTGTGCATTTTGCAGAAACTTGAGGGTCTTAGCAAGACTGTGTAGCAGGTCTACCAGGTCCCTCCCTCCCCCGCACAGGGGCGTGTCCCTCGTTTCTTGCAGCTTCCGCACCTCTGGCCCTGGGGTGTCATCCCCACCCCTGGCCGGTGCCCCCCGCCCCCCAGGCTCCCCAGCTGACCTCGGGCTCCCACGCCAGCGACTCCTGTATTCCGGAGCAGCTTGGTCTGGAAGGAGCCCCGATTACTCTCCGGCATCCACGGAATTCCAGGGGGACCTCCCCCTCCCCAGGGCTGAGGCGATGTGAGAGGAACAGGCCATGGCCTTGCCCCTGCCCTCCCTCTCCAGCCCTGAGAGGCGTGAGACGCTCTGCCCTGAGATCAGGTCGGGGGGCTCTTGGCTGCTCTTGGTTTGTCCTTGAGCTTCTGAGGTCCCTCAGGCCTCCCCTCCCCTCCCGGCATCGGTGTCTGGACGGAGTTGCACAGACTGGCTTTGCGGGGCCCGTGGCCGGAGCTCCTGTGCCGTCTGTGTCCCTTCCTGGGGACAGGAGAGCGGGGTGCCCCGCCCGCGGGTGCGGGCTGTGCCTGCTTTCTGCGGGGACGCTGTCTGGTGAGGGCCCAAGGGCGGCGGCAGGCGGCTCCGGGGAAACACCGCCCTCCCGGGCCCCGGGCCTGCGGCCGGTGTGAGAGACGCCTCTTTTTTCTACAGACGAGTTCTCAGACCGCAAGCAAATCGAGGTGCAGGTGTACCCCCCTCTGCCGATTTCCCTTCTGTTCCCAACATGTCTCCGTTAGGAACCTCCGTCAGAGGGAACTCGGGGCCCGTTTGTCCCCTGAGCATGGTTTTCTGATGCCGGCATGAGGGGGTGACACGGCAGAACTCTGCTCGTCAGAATAAAGAGAATCCTCTTACTCCTGCTTGCTTTGTAAACACACCCTGTCCTAAAGTGACCGTGCACGTTAGACGAACATACACCCACACACGCACAGTGCACGCGTGCGCACACACCGCGAAGCAGGTCTGCTGGCCCCCGAGCAGCCACCGTCTTCAGCCCACTCTGCTCTGCGGTGACCCCTGTGCCCCTACAAGGCCCCCGTCTCCCCGGGGGCTGCCGGGGACCTGGTCAGCACAGACTCGGATGACCCCCTTTTTGGGACAGACGGCGAGGTCCCGCCTGGCCGCCCCCCCCCCCCCAGGGCGCTCGTGCTGTGCGGTGCTGAGGTCCGTCGGGACGGACCAGCCCTGGGGTCGCAGTGTGACCAGAGCGCCGCCCAGTGTCCGGTGTGACACTGACTCCCGCTCCCGCTGGCTCAGCCTGCCGGTTTGTCTCTGACCCAGGGTGGCCGTGTGGCCGCTCCTGTGCGGAAGCATGTGCTGAGCGAGGCGCGGCCCTCCCCTCTTCCTCTGGTCCCAGTTATTGCCAAGGAAACGATCGAAGGCCCTCCTGTTTAACCCAGGCTCGTGGCCTGGTAGCCGTGCCCAGCGGGAAGACACCAGAAACCGGAAGGCAGTGGCTGGCGGCCCGGGTCCCGGCACAGCACATCCCGCAGCCATATGGCGGGCCCTCCCCTCGGCCGGTCACTCCGTCACGCTCTGCCCCGCGGTCTCCCTGCGAGCGGCTCACGCCGTTTAAATCAAGTTCCCGTTGTAGTCCTCCTCTGCTTGGTAACCGTGTGGGACTGGCTGCCCTGTGTCAAGCTCTGTGGACGCTGTGGGATTCTGTGTGTTTTTAAGGGACTCGTTGGGGGGCACTGTGTTTTTGCTGGGACAGGACCTTCCTGTGCTGGGAACGCGTGCGAGCCGAACGGACAGGCAGCCTGCGCATGTCCCCGATGCTTTGTACATTCCTGTGCGCGCTGGTCAGTGGCCAATAAACAGTATTATCCAAGCGAACTGCTCCCTGCGTGTGGCTGGGTCTCATGGTCAGAGCCGGGCAGACACCCGGACAGGATTTCCTTGAACTGGCAAATGACAGCGGAGGAGGGGCCCCTGCATTGACTGAGCACAGGCCTCTGTTCACACACACACACACACACACACTCAGCTCTGTCACGGAGCACTAACGCCACCCATTTGGTGTCACCGGCTGCAGAAGTAGCTCAGGTGGTGGTGGTTTTCTGTTCGGCGAGCGCCTCCTGTGTGCAGGTCACACGTGGATTCCCAGGAACACTGCCCGTGGTGGGGAGCTCCCGTAACGGACAGAAACGGAGCACGCTCTCCAGCCGGGCGCACCGCGCTCAGGCTCCGGCACCGAGCCCAGCCTCCTCGGTCTTTGCAAACGGCTGGGGAGCAGAGCAGCCTGCAGACCGCAGATGGGCCAGATTGCCAGGGAGCCTCCCAGACACTGTCGTCCCCCTCGGTTTTGCTCATTCTGCGGCAGAACGGGCTGGGCCAACGGAGGACAGCCTGGCTCTCGGGTCAGAGCTCGAAGCAGACCTGGGGTTGGGGTGGGAGGTGCAGTGGGGCACGGGGGCTGAGAGCGGAGGGGGTGGAGCGAAGAGCTGCCAGGCCTGGTCCAAGTGCTTTAAAAGTTGGGTGGCCCTGTCTTTTCCCTCCTGATTCCTAGTGGATACGTTTAAAAATCCAACCCAAACAGTGGGCCTCCGGACTGTGCTTCGCTGGGGTCGGCTACATCGCGGGCAGCTGGCTGCCACCATGGGTTTTGCCTTCCGAGTTGAAGTTCATGACTAGGCCCACCTCCACCCCCATCCTGCAGGGGGAGGGGCAGAGCTTTGATCAGCTGACGGGCGGGGGGCGGGGGGGTGACGCCATTCAGAAACAGGAGCTGATGCCTGGGCCGGGACGGCTGGGCGGGCTTCCCACAGAATCCAGGCGACACTCCAACCCCAGCTCACGGAGGGGAGGGCGAGTGCGAGGAGGTTGGGTCGGAGATGGGGTGCAGAGAGCACCCCATCTGCCTGGTCACCCTGAAACGAAGAACGCTGGGCCTCTTACTTTGAGGCTGTGTCTTGCTTTGCCCCTTCAGGCGGGGTCCGGGTGGGGGAGGAGCAGGAGCAATATTCCCCCCCCCCCCCCCCTGTTGTGATGGGGTGCTGGTCATGGGGGCGCCCTCCGCCCAGCAGGTGGCACCCTCCAGGCTCCCAGAAGGAAGCAGGTGTTCAGCTCAGCAAACCGTGAGACTTGTGAGCAGCAAATGGGGGGGAGGGGGGAGCTTTTCCAACCCAGGTTCCCAGACGCCAGCCCGTGAGCCGGCTCTGGCCACGAGGTGACTCGCGCGGGCACAAGCGCTGTCCCTTCCCTTCCGCAGTCCTTCTCCCGCTCAGGAGCCCCGCTCCCAGCCCCCGTGGACGGCGGCTCAGGCCACCACCCGGCTCTCCGGCAGTTCCAGCGCAGCTCACACTGGCCACGCCGGGACTTACGCTGAGGGTTCCACGTGTGGCACCTCATTGAGCATGTGCCAACTCCCATCTTTCTCATTTAAAAAATAATTTTTAATATTTTTTTTATTGATTTCAGAGGGGAAGGGAGAGGGAGAGAGAGATACATCAATGATGAGAGAGAATCATGGACCGGCTGCCTCCTGCACGCCCCCCAGTGGGGATTGAGCCCACAACCCAGGTGTGTGCCCTGATGGGAAACTGAACCGTGACCTCCTGGTTCATAGTTAATGCTCAACCCCTGAGCCGCACCAGCTGGGCGACCCGTCTCCGTGTCGGCTAGCATTTTGGGCTCAATAAAAGCTTTCTTAAGAGTTTCAGCTCTGGAAGTTCCACGTTTTGTTCAACAGAAGCAACTCCCCGAGGAGCCAGCGAGGGCCCAGGGGAGCTGTCGGCACCTCGGGGTGGCGGGGCCGCGGTGGGAGCCGCCGGGAGCCCGGGGCGAGCACACGTGGGGGTTCTGATGGAGCCAGAGCCCCTGCCACAAGCGCCACTCAAAACGGAGCAGAAGGGACGGCCCTGCTCCTCCTTCCTGCACCCTCTGTTCCTGCAGGAATTGCCACGTGGCCAGCCAGACTGCCCCCTCACACACACCCCAAAAACCAGTTCCCAGGGCAGCCTGGGAAGAGTGGAAGAGGCAAGGATTTGGTGAGTGCCAACACCGCAGCCCAAGTGGCAACAGGGCAGAAATGGGGAGGCAGCGGGGGGCGGGGGGGGGGGGGAGGCGGTTTCTGGGCATGGCGAGGGTGAGGTGCCCCTGGGACCTCCAGGGAGTTGTCCAGGAGGCACTGTCTGGACCCCGATTCCAGAGAGGGGAGACGGCTGCCTCGGCCAGGTGGGAGCCTGCCAGCCCACAGCCCGCAGTGGCGGGAGCAGGGGATGTGCTCACAGGGAAGTGCTCCTGTTACAGGAAACACTCAAAATCACTAGTGGGCCCTAGTGCTTCGTTTTAGGTCTGCAAGCTCCCGTTCCGTTCCCTCCAGCTTCCATCTGAGTCACGTGAACATTCCTCCGGGCTGCACCCAAGGCCTCTGGAGGGAAGGGGGAGGGGAGCACAGATGGAGTGTGGGTGGCCCCAGGCCCGCCCAGCATCCAGCGCTCAGATTACATTCCTCAGCAGGGAGCAGGGCCTGGGCTATTTCTGTCACCTCCTAAGAACTTCTGGGTGACCTGAAGGTGTGAACTTGGAGAGCCCAACAAACACCTGGCTTCCACCCCCAGGTCCTACCCCGGTGCTTGCTGGGAGCCCGCACACATCTGTAAGACGGAGCCGTATCTCTTTGTGGGGTTGCCCTGAGGATTAGATCGGACAATGCTGGCCAAGTGGCCACCTCGGTATTTGGCACATGTGAGCTCAGCAATGGAAGTAAATGTCGTTGGCTGTTATTGGAAGGATGAAAGAGAAACTAGAGGCCCAGTGCATGAAACTCATGCACGGATACCCCCCCCCCCAAGCCGAGCTGTCGGTCTCCGTCTCCCTGTTGGTCCTGAGCTCTGGCCAGTTGAGCCAGAGGGGACAATTTGCACATTAGCCTTTTATTGTATAGGATAAGGAAACTGAGGCTCAGAGTTAGTTCAAAGAAGTGTCAAAAAAACTCTGCTCATTATAGACAGAGTTGGAATAAAGTCTCCTCATTCCCTTACATGTTGCCCCCACTTGTAATCACTCACATATATTGTAACCTGGCCCACACTGATCACTCACATATATGGTATCCGGCCTGGGACAGTGAGAACTGTTTTTGAGTCACTCTGAGGGCACAGAGCAGGGACAGATCTCAATCGGAAGCTTAGCAGAGGATTCTCAGATAAGGAATAGGCTCCTAAGGTTTTGTTTCTTTTCACTTGCTTTAAAAAACAAACAACAACAACAACAATCTCAGCAAAACTCACGTGTTAACTACAGGGCAGCCTTGTTCCAGTCACACCCATTCTCTCTCTCCACCCCCATTTTCTACCTTGGGCCTGGAGGTGGGGCCTGAGACAGGACAGCAGGTAGGGCTGTACACCCAGGGTTTGCCTTTGGGGAAAATCCTTTATTCGAACCCTTTGCCAAATGGGAGACCACCACCAGGGGGCAGGCTAGGAACGGGTTTCTGAAGCTGCTTCAAGGGGAAGGATGACAGACAAACAATAATGCAGCCTGGTGGTTGGGTGGACCCATGCACCAAGAGGTCTCAGGTTCAATTCCTTCGGGATCCATCCCCACTAGGGGGCGCCTACCTCATGGATGTTTCTCTTCATCCCTCTCCCTTCCTCTCTAAACATATAAAACACCTATTTTAAAAAATACTGCAAACGCAGTGCATATTTGCAAACTTCCCACCAAAGCCTTAACGTAGTCTTCACGGGATGATGCTTTGGAGGAAGGGGGTCAGGGGGCTGCGCAGGGCTCGTCCGTCCCCTCCCCGCACCGTTCCGGGGCCTCTGCGGGGTCACCGGGGGCCCAGAGGCTGAGACCCAGCGCCGCACGTGGCGGACCCGCGGGGGAAGGAGGCGCGGCCCGCACGCAGCGCCAGTGAGCGCGTCGCCCGCGCGGGGACCCGGAAGTGGGCCCCTCACGTGCTCTGCGGGAACTAGGCGAGCGCGGGCCAAGGGGCGGGGCGTTTCGCTCGGCGTGCTTGCGTCATTGCGTAGGCTGGCGGGGCCGCGGCTGGGGAGGTGACGTTTCCTGTGGGCGGGCCCAGGGAGCGCGGCCGAGGCCAGCCCCTCCTCTTAAAGCCGCCCGGGTATTTCCGTCTTCTACCGCTCTGGCCTTGGGGCCGCGGCGCCTTTAAGTGTCGCGGTGACACGTGTGTGGAGCGCCGAGGGCCCGGATGTGAGTGTCGGGCCCACGCCGAGCAGACGCCTGCGCCGGGGCTGCAGCAGCGGGCGGGTCGCGGGCCTGTAAGTTGGGGCCGAGTCGGGGCGGAGCGTGGGCCGGGGCAAGGCTGCGGTCCGGCCGGGGCGGGGAAGGCCTCCGCCGGGCCTGCTGCGCGGGAAGCTGCGGCCGGACCGGGCGCGCCCGGGGGCCCTGCGGGGAGACGTGGGCGGGTGTCCGTGATGGGTGCGGGTCCACCGGGAGGCCCGGGCTGCGTGGAAGGAGAGGGGCTCGGGGGCCCGCGGGGAGGCCCTGGCTTCAGGGTGCTGCCCCCGCGGACCCGACCGGAGGCGGAGCGGCGAGCGGCCCCGGGAGCCGGGCGGGAGGAGCGGCCTGTCCGCGCCGTCGCCGCCGGAGCCTCCTTCCCCGGGGCTGGCCCGGCCCTGGACGCTGTCAGGCCGGGAGCCGCTCGGCGGCGGAGCCGGGTGGTTTGCTCCCTCCCAGGAGCGCGTTGGGGACACCCCCCTCCCCGGCCCGGAGAAGGTGGGTCCTGAGGTCATGGATGTGGGGTTTCAAGTGCCGTTGCCTCGGGCGGCCCTGTGGGGTCTCCCCTGGGTCTGAGGAGCTAGCGTGGCCCCCGAGGCCGGGCTTCCTGTGCGGGTGCGGGTGCGGGTGCGGATGGGCCTCAAGGAGAGGCGCTCAGCTCGCCGGCCGAGCCGGGGCGGTGCTGGGTGCGCAGGGAGCCCCCGAGAGGCCCAGCGCTGCCCTCCGGCTCCCGCGCCACGTGGGTGACTTCACACTGGGCCTTGGGGTGCCTTCGGGGAGCGGGGGACCTTGGGGTGACTTCGCGGAGCGGAGGGCCTGTTTGAGGAGCGGGTGAGCGCTCTCCGAGGTAGGAAAAGCCCGGGAGGAGGAGAATCGTGGCCTGGAGGGCGTTCCTTCCTGGTTCCCGGGTGTCTGTCCAGCTGTGGGCCAGGGGATGCTGGGGATGTGGGTCCCGCACTCCCTTCCAGAGAAGTTCTTTTTAGGGTACCGCTTCCTGGGGGGGCGAGGGGGGCCAGGACCGGAGACACAGAGGCTGGCCTTGCCGTGGGAACTGGGGATTACGGACGTGGAGGAGTGGGCTCTGCAGGTGCTGTTTCGGGTCCTCACCGCCAGTGAAGTTGGGTTCATTCTCCCAAGCTCTTCATCCTCAAGCTGCTCTGGTTCCCACACATTCGCCCTTGGACCGAGCTGGCCTGGGACCAGGGCTCTCCTGCCCCCCCCCCCCAGCTCTCCTGTCCCCCTGGGCCCTCCTGTCCTCCCCCCCCCCGCCCTCCTGTCCCCCCAGGCTCCCCTGTCCCCCCGGGCCCTCCTGTCCCTCCTGGGCCCTCCTGTCCCCGGCCCTCCTGTCCCCGGGCTCTCCTGTCCCCCCCCCCGCCCTCCTGTCCCCCCCCGCCCTCCTGTCCCCCCCCGGGCCCTCCTGCCCCCCCCCCCCCGCCCTCCTGTCCCTGCCCTCCTGTCCCCGGCCCTCCTGTCCCCTGCCCTCCTGTCCCCGGGCTCCCCTGTCCCCCCGGGCTCTCCTGTCCCGCCCCCCCCCTCCTGTCCCCCCCCCCCGCCCTCCTGTCCCCCCCCCCCGCCCTCCTGTCCCCCCGGGCTCTCCTGTCCCCCCCCCCCCGCCCTCCTGTCCCCCCCCCCCCGCCCTCCTGTCCCCCCGGGCCCTCCTGTCCCCCCGGGCTCTCCTGTCCCCCCCCACCCCCCCGCCCTCCTGTCCCCCCCGGGCCCTCCTGTCCCCCAGGCTCTCCTGTCCCCCTTCCTGGGCTCCCCTGTCCCCGGGCTCTCCTGTGGGGGAGTGTTGACTGCAGCATGAACACTAGGCAGTTCTGCTCTGCTTATTCTCGGGGAGGAGACAGAATGTGTCGCACTGATGGATGGCATGCTTAGTAATAACTGCTGACACTGAGTAATGGGGTGAGGGGACCCTATGCTGTCCTCCCCACGTGGTGTGAGCCTGAGCATTTTCACACTAAAGTGCTTGAGAGCACCTCAGTGTTACATAACCATAGCGACTATGGTGGTAATTAAAGGGGGGGAATCCACACCACGCAAAGTGAAAATTTGGCAATTCTTACCACTCCTTAAACAATCTTTTTTATTTGTTTATTTGTTTGTTTATTTATTTATTTATTGTTTCGCTGGTGCAGCGGGAGAGCCGGAGAGCGATCCTGGTCGTTCTGTCTTCCTCCCAGAATGCGGTTTAGATGGTTTGTTCATGAGTCTTGTCATGACGTGCCGGTTCACATAGGCATGTTTTCGTCTCCTGGCCCGGGACGGATTTGTAGCGGGTGACTCAGCCCCCCTCTAGGTCCACGCCGCTGATGTGTCTCCATCCTCAGCGACCGTCCTGGCGGTGTCCGCCCTCCTGCTCCACACTTAGGCCGTGGGGCTGGGGAGACGGCGGGACTCCGCCTCACGGTGCTGTTCATCTCGCAGGTCCTGGTGCCGGTTCTGGACGTCAGGCTCGCAGCTCTGGTGGTTTAACGGCCGAGCGCGAGGAGCACATGCAGTGGAGGCCCAGCCGCCCCCGCCCCGCCGCCCGGAGCCTGATCCATGCTGCAGCCCGGCGCGCCCCGGCTCCCACGTCCCGGGTAAGCCGTGTCCCTGCCGCCTCGTCGTCCATTCCTGCTGGGCCGTCAGGGGTGAGGGCTCTGAGAGGACCCCCTCCCCTCCAGGATGCTTTTATTTCCTTAAAGAACATGCACTTTCTTTTTTTTTTTTTTTTTTTTTAACATATTTTATTGATTTTATACAGAGGAAGGGAGAGAGATAGAGAGTTAGAAACATCGATGAGAGAGTCATCGATCAGCTGCCTCTTGCACACCCCCCACTGGGGATGTGCCCGCAACCAAGGTACATGCCCTTGACCGAAATCGAACCCAGGACCCTTCAGTCCCCAAGCCGACGCTCTATCCATTGAGCCAAACCAGTCCCGGCTGCACTTTCTTTTTTAAAGATGCATTTTACAATTCTGTACCTGACAGACATTTTGACGGACAAACAGACTCGATCCATGTGTGAAGTTAGATGCTCCGTGGCCATAGACTTGAACATCTCTCATCAGAGCCCAGGTCCGGGGTGCTCCTGGCTTAGGGGGGCTGCTGTGGCGGGCAGGGACCCCAGGGGGCTGCCATTGTTCTGGCGGGAACCAGTTTTTCCGACGGGCTGGGGCAGTGCTGCGCTGTGGCTGTGGGTGGGGAGGAGAAGCTGGCAGAGGTGTGGGCTTCCTGTCTGCCATTTCTGTGGCCGCCCACCAGCACCTCCCTCTGGCCGGCGCTCAGTCCTCATCCAGTGCTGTTGTCACCCTGTTCTAGAAAGGCCGGGGGACTGGGAAGTCCCAGTGACTGTCCCCGGAGTTCATAGCTGAGGACGCGAGGCCTGCCCTTCCCAGAGCCGGCTGCCGCGGCCACTCTGCTTGCATTTGGGCACCTTGCGTTCACCATTCTAGTCCCGTCACCGTCCCTGCCCCCACCTTCATGCAGGTGGCCTGTTCAGAAAGGCCGTCACGGATGCAATTCCAAGTGTTACACGAGCCACGTTAAAAAGCAGGAAGCAGCCCGGCCGCGGGGCTCGGGTTGAGCATTGACCTAGGAACCAGGAGTCACGGTTGGATTTCCGGTGAGGGCACATGCAGGGCTACAGGCTCAACCCCCAGAGTGGGCCACGCAAGAGGCAGCCCATCAATGATTCTCTCATCAGTGATGCTTATCTCTCTCTTTCTCCTTTCCTCTCTGACATCATTAAAAACATATTAAAAAAAAAAAAAGAGAGAGAGAAGGAGAATAAGTTGAAACGAAGCTTCATGGTCTATTTTATTTAACCAAATATATGTCAAGTATAATTTCTGCATGTAGCAGGTGTATAAGACGACCCCCCAATTTTACAGTTAAAACATAGGTTTAGGCCTATATTCGCTGTATAAAACTACCCCCCACTTCAAAGAAAAGACTTATTATACTTTGCCGTCACGATCTGCAGGTAATTTTTGTGCAATTTTGGTCTTTTGCCCCCGATTTTCGGTTGACTTTTTTTTCGTTTCAAAAGTCGTCTTATACGCCAGAAAACACAGTAGGCGTGTTTTACCTTCCCACACTGAGTCCTCGAAATCTGCTGTATGTCACACTCACAGAACAGTTTGAAGCGCCGCTTCCATGTGGGCTGTGGCCTGTGGCTGTGGCTGTGGCTTCGATTTGGAGAGCATGGGTCTGGGCCAGTGGTCGGCAAACCGTGGCTCACGAGCCACATGCGGCTCTTTGGCCCCTTGAGTGTGGCTCCTCCATGAAATACCACGGCCTGGGCGAGTCTATTTTGGAGAAGTGGCGTTAGAAAAAGTTTCAGTTTAAAAAATGTGGCTCTCCAAATTGTCAATTGTGCTGTTGACGTTTGGCTCTGTGGACTCATGAGGTTGCCGATCACTGGTCTGGGCAAACAGGCATGCTCCTTGACTTGCCTCACTGACCCTGTGCTACGTGGACGTGAGTGTAACCAGGGTGTCCAGCGAGAACTGGTGTTTCCCTAGTTCTGAGCACACGTCAGGACCCCCGCGTGCCTTTGGCTGGACCATGCCCAGGGCCCACACTCCCTGAGGGAGAGGCGCCAAGGTGCCCGGCCTCCTGGGGCTGCCCTGTCTGTCCAGCGCTCTCGTCTCTTTGAGAGGAGCAGCGTGGACCCTCTGCGTGGTTCCATGGATCTATCTCCGTGGTTTGCGCTTCCTCCGTAGGGTTGGCAGCTGCTCAGAGGAGCCTCCTGGTGGCTGGGTCCTCAGTGACAAAAGGGCTCTTCCATCTGTTCTGGGCACCTGGTTACCAGAGCCCGTGTTCTCGCCCCGCAGTGACGCCATGCCCATCGTCGACAAGCTGAAGGAAGCCCTGAAACCCGGCCGCAAAGACTCGGCCGACGATGGCGAGCTGGGGAGGCTGCTGGCTGCCTCCGCCAAGAAGGTGCTGCTGCAGAAGATCGAGTTTGAGCCGGCCAGCCGGAGCTTCTCCTACCAGCTGCAGACCCTGCGGAGCAAATACGTGCTGCTGAGCCCCCAGCCGGGGGGCGCCGCCCGCCCCCAAGGGGAGGAGCCGCCTGCCCGGAGACAGGGTACAGGCGCTTGCGGCGGCAGAGGGCCTCGCTGGGCCGTCACCAAGTGGGTGGGTGAAGCGCGGCCTGGTTAGCAGGAACCAGAGCAGAGTGGTCAGAGCCGTGAGTTCTGTGGGGTCCGTGATCTTGGTGGCAGAAGCAGTGACCGGGCTGGGCGGAAAGATCTGTCCTTAGATTTCCAGGAAAGCGTTCCCGGGCGTGGACAGAGCAGGAGGATGGTGGCTGCAGGGGCCGGGCCCAGCTCCTCCGGCTCGTCTTTCCCGCATGTTGTCCTCCCGCCTGTGGGAGGCCTTGGATTCTAGGCCTGAGCCCTGGGGCAGATCCTGGGGCGGCAGGCTTCCTCCTGGGCTGTCCGGAGCTTCCAGTAATGGGGTGCCAGTTACCCTTCGCTGCCGCGCTCGGGCACGTGCCTGCTAAGCGCGCGGCACAAGTCCTCTCTGTGCCCAGAGTGCCACCCTCCTCTCCCTGCCCGTCCAGGCGGCCAGCGCGCGTGCGAGAGCGGCGGCGACGGCGTGCCCGCCCCGCAGAAGGTGCTCTTCCCCGGGGAGCGGCTGTCCCTGAAGTGGGAGCGCGTCTACCGCGTGGGCGCCGGGCTCCACAACCTGGGCAACACGTGCTTCCTGAACTCCACCGTGCAGTGCCTGACCTACACGCCACCCCTGGCCAACTACCTGCTCTCCCGGGAGCACACGCGCAGCTGTGAGTGCCTCGGGGTGTGTGTGTGTGTGTGTGTGTGTGTGTGTGTGCGCGCGCGCGCGCGAGCTCCATACAAAGGAAGCTTGCCCACAGCTGCTGTGCCGTGCCTGGGTGCAGTACAGTCACACAAGGCGTTCGGGATGGCGATGGCCTGGCTCGGGCTGTGGTCTGTGATGGGGGGAACGTTGGGAGGGGTGCAGGGTTCCTAGTGCTTCACTCCGGAAAGCTCGCGTGAGCTGGGTGGGGGACAATCTGAGCTTCTCTGCTTTTCAGTATCTCTTAGCTTTAAATGTAAGTCATGCCCGTCTGGCCGTGAGCCTGGGGAGGAACAGTAGTGTCCGTGATGGACTCGGCCTGGCGGGGTGGCTGCTGCCAGCACTCGGGCACGTGTCTGCCACCTGGTGGTTTGGCGCCATGGGCCAGGCTGGGTGCCCACAGACAGGACTTGTTAACCACATGGGGCTTCACAGAAGTTTCCTGAGCCCTGACACGGAGTGGGCATCTCCTGGGAGCGGCTGGCAGGCGGGGGGCAGGAGACTAAGTGTTCTGGCTGTTGGCCCTCTGTGCAGCTGGAGGCAGAGAAACATGGCCCAGACTCCGCCTTGAGCACCAGGCCGGACCTCTAAGTAAATGTGCTGAAGAGACAGGAGCGCCTGTCGGCATGGCCCTGAGGCAAGGGGGAGTGTGGTCACGGCCCCTGCGCGCGTGCGTGCGAGACTCACCTTGGGCCTTGCCCGCAGGTCCGCAGGGCAGCTTCTGCATGCTGTGCGTCATGCAGAACCACCTCGTGCAGGCCTTCGCCAACAGCGGCAACGCCATCAAGCCCGTGTCCTTCATCCGGGACCTGAGAAGTAAGTGGGTCGGGCCTCCCGCTGCCAGCTCCGCAGTGGCTGCTGGGAGTGGAGGGGGGCGGTGCGCTGGGTGTGGAGGGCTGGCGGTGCACACTGAAGGGCTGTGGGCTCGGACTGCTGGGGTCGGGGTCGGGGTCGGGGTCATAGTGGGGCAGGTGAGCGGGAGTGAGCGGCCATGAGGTGGGGGCCGGACTGGTAGCTGGTGTGGGAAGCCAGGTTGTTGAAGCTAACGGATTCAGGTGCTGCGTCTGCTTGGGAACAAGGGGTCAAGGTGGGTTTACGGTCGGTGTGGGCACCCCGAGCCTCTGCTCCTGGGTAGTGGGGAGGGTTTGAGCCCCTGGTCTCACCTGGAAAGTTGGGCCATGAGGGGCTGTCACGTGCGTGGGCTTGCTTCCTCACTGTCCTTCAAAGGCCTGCCGCGGACCGGTCGCGGGGAGACGGGCACGCACATGGGGCGTTGGAGAAGCTGGGGTCCCCTCCCGTCTGACGATGCTCCTCTCCACAGAGATTGCCCGGCATTTCCGCTTCGGGAACCAGGAGGACGCACATGAGTTCCTGCGGTACACCATCGACGCCATGCAGAAGGCCTGCCTGAACGGCTACGCCAAGTACGTGCCGCCCTCCCCCTTCCTCCGGGGGCGGCCAGGCCTCACCCGCACCCCGTCCCCCTGCGCCGGGGCGTCCGGTCCAGACCTGCTGGCCTGTCGGGCTGCCCGTGCTCCCTGGGAAAGGGCCTGTGCGGCCCCGCCAGCTCTCAGCCTGGGAAAGGCGGGCCAGAAGGCCACCCCGGGGGCTGCTGTGCGGTGGGTGCAGCACGGCCGTGTGCCGGGTCCCGGCCCTGCCCAGGCGGGGCGCTCAGGACCGTGGCTGACCCTGACCCTGTGCCAGGCGGATGAGCGGACCCTGGAGGCGGGAGAGTTGGGGAGGCTGGGCGGAGTTTGGGTTTGGGCTGAGGTGGGGAGGGTCCATGTCTGGGAACGGGCTTCATCTGAGCTCTCCTGCAGGGGCGCTTGCAGCTCAGCCTCGGTGTGGGACACGAGTCTTTTCCCACGTCCTTCCTGAGTTCTGTCAACTCTTTATCCGAGGTGGCAAGTGCCTCACCCGGGGTTTTTGCCCCCATCTGCTCTCGCTCAGCTAGGAGCTGGTTGCGCCTCCCCGCTCTGTGCTTGTGTCTGGGCTTGCTTTCATGGAGGGCAGGGCTGCTTCTGGTTTCCTGTTTTCTGCTTGAACCGCATTGGCTGGGAAGGAAGCTGTTTTCATCTGTCCCGGAATCAGGCACACGCAGGGCTTTCGGCCGGCGCCCCCTCCTGCCGGCCCGGGGAAGTGCATCGGGTGGAGGCCCAGGCTGGGAGATTTTCAGGCTGAGTTCCTCCTTTGCTTCTCTTGCCTTCACCGCCCGCTTCCCCGGGGAGCCCGCCTGCCTTTGCCTTCTGGCTGAGAAGCACCGTCTTCGGAGGCTGCCTCCCCACTGTGCCCTGGTACCCCGAGCCTGAGAGCTCATACTTGTGGGTGTCTGTGACTTGGGCCACCTCTGGCTCTCTGCCGCCCGCTCACTGTGTTTCTGGACCCTTCGAGACCTGCACCGAGGCAGGGTGGCAGCGTCCCGGAAGCTGGCATTGCTTCCGTTTCCTGCTCACTGGGAATCTGGCTTGGAGGCTGAATCGGGCCGAATGGAGAGGGTCCTGTGGTCCCCTTCACTCCATCCAGCCCTTTTGGGCGGCCGGGCAGCTGCCGTCGCACGGAGGGAGCCAGTGAGGTTGGCTGTCCTGGCTGCCGTTGGAGCGCAGTGAGCCTTCTGATGGGGTGGCGCTAGGAGGGGTGCTGCTCCCGTCCGCTTCCTGGCTTCGCAGATAAGATTGGTGACTGTTGGTCCCCATGTGTCCTGGAGTTATTTCCTCGCTGAGCTCCGGGTCTGGGTGGCCCTGCTGTCAGCAGTCAATTAGATGGGACAGCAGGCTGAGACGGGGGCCTTCAGCACACTCTGCGGGTGGCGGAGGCCATGCAAGCATGTTCTCGTGTGTGTGTGTGTGTGTCTGTCTGTGTGTGGAGTCAGTCCTCCAGGCTGACATGTGCTGAGGAGCCCTGGCAGGGAGTCCTGTCTGGGGAGATGGTGGAGGGGACGCTGTCCTGGGAGCGAGTGGGCCGCGCTGTGTGTCCCTGTGGAGTTTTCATCTTTTTTTAAGACTAAGGGCCGATTAGACACGAGTCCTGGCCATCTTGGTGGCTCTGAGGAACTGGCAGGTGCAGGGGCTGCGGGTGAAAACCCGGGGCAGAGGCTGGATATGGTGTTGCTTCGAGAATCTTCCTTACATGAGCACTCGGGCATTATGCTCCGCGTCCTGTAGTTAGTAAACGGGTGGGGGACGAACTCAGGCTTGCCCGACCTGAGCCCCTGCCTGGACCCCTGCTGTCCTGCGGGAAGGACCTCCCGGGGCCTCTCTCAGGTCGGTGCTGGTACAGGCCCCGCCAGTGGAGGGTGCGGTGCCGTGCAGGACGGAGTGGGACCTGAGCGGGGTAGTGGGAGCGAGGCCGCTCACTAAGAGCAGCTCAGGCTTACGGGGTGGGTGTGGGGAGTGGGCCATGTGGATCCGGGCACTGCCGGGATCCTGCTGAGACTTTGCTGTGTGCGCCAGGCTCCGGGTGGGGTGAATGGCCTGGGGTGTGCAGTGGGCGGGGCACTGGGTGGGGTGCCAGTGCTGCCTTGCTGTGACCTGTGGCTTATGGCTGTGGCTGTTTCACAGGTTGGACCGTCAGACGCAGGCCACCACTTTGGTCCACCAGATTTTTGGAGGCTACCTCAGGTCGCGTGGTAAGCGGAAGCTCCTCTCTCCCTGTTCCGGTCAGGACTGGGGTGAACCGGGCGGTGCTGAGAGCTAGCGCCAGCCTGGGCTTTCCTAGGCAGGCCCCGAGCCCGTCTGCCTGATGGGCACCCCGATCCCAGGGGAAGTGTGAGCTGACGAGTAGGCGCGTGTGCAGTGGGGGCAGTTCTTCCCGTGATGCCCTAGCTCCTCAGGGCAGCATTGGGGACCTCGTGGCTCTAGGGCTCGGATACCTGGTGGGTGCCTGTACCCACCACCGCCCTCTGCTCTGTTGCAGTGAAGTGCTCGGTGTGCAGGAGCGTCTCGGACACCTACGACCCCTTCCTGGACATGGCGCTGGAGATCCGGGTACAACCCCACCCTCCTGCCCCCATCTGTTTGCAGTAGGACCCGAGGGCAGAGGGCGAGAAGCCCACACCACACAAGCCCACACGCCCACATCCACACCCGTGAGGCGGGCACTTAGCATCCTCCTCACGAGGAACCAGCACGTTCACACATTTCTCCGGCCTTTTTCTGTGCACCCTTCTCTCTCACTGCAAAAGCAAAGACAGCGTGCAGGTGTGTGGGACCCGGGCCAGTCCCCGGTCAGCTCCGCTCTGAGCCTGCCCGTCGGGCAGGAAGGGCAGCCTGGCTCCCTGTCCCTCTGCTGCGGCTTTGAGTACAGGTGGCAGCCGGTGGCCAGTTCTGTGCCAGCGGAGTGTGGGCTTGCTGCTCGCCTGGCAGCCTGGCTGCGCTGTGGAGGGCGCCTTCCGCGCTCACGCCCCGTGTCCGCCCGCAGCAGGCGGCCAACATCGTGCGCGCGCTGGAGCTCTTCGTGAAGCCGGACGGCCTGAGCGGGGAGAACGCCTACATGTGCGCCAGGTGCGTTCCCGGTCACCTGACCTGCCCCTGCTGCGGCCCCTCCGGAAACTGCAGGCCACGGACACACTGCCCACCGTCTCTGACCCCGTTCGCACGGTGCTCCCTGCCTCCAGGGCCTCCTGTCCTGTGGGAAGCAGGCCCTGCCTGGTCCCGTGTCCACTGCAGGGCCCCGCTGCCACCCCGCCCTGAGGTGACCCCGTTCCGCGACTGCCATTTCTCCCCTTTTCTTGGCATCTTTCCACCCCCGCAGATGCCGCCCTGACCGTCCTTGGGGTGATGCAGCTTAGTGTGGGGGTGTTGTTAACTGTCCAGTCAGGTCGTTTAGAAGCGGTAAAGAACAGTGTCCTGAATTCTGCTCTCGGGTTGACCGTTCTGTGCCCAAACACTGCCTGTAGCGCCCCTACACCCACCCCGCGCTCGGGAGCTGCCTGTCCCTGCGCCCGCCCCTCCCCCTCGTTTCGTGTCTGGCTTTGTGCAGGGAATCCCTGCCTGCCCCCCTGTCACCAGCCTGTCGGCGCTGGTTTGTTCTGCGTCAGCCCACAGTCCCTTCTGGTCTCGGCCTCGAGCTGGGAGGTGCTTCGTGCTGCCTGGTCTGCTTCCTGCCCTGGCTTCCCTTCCCCGCAGGGGTGTCGGCTGGTGGTGGGGAGGCAGGAGCCACAGGTCCCGTTCAGGAAGAGCTGTTACCGCGCAGTGTGACTGACTGCCTAGTGGGAGGACAGTCTGGGAGCACCAGCTGACCCCCACGCCCCCTCAGGTGCAAGAAGAAGGTGCCCGCCAGCAAGCGCTTCACCATCCACAGGGCATCCAACGTCCTGACGCTTTCCCTCAAGCGCTTTGCCAATTTCAGTGGGGGCAAGATCACCAAGGTGAGTGCCCCCTGCGGGCTCGGGCTCCTCAGTGGCTGCTCCTAAAAATACGGACTCCGGGCTCTGCCCCAGAGCCAGGGAGTGCAGATCCCAGAAGACGGGCCAGGAACCTGCTCTCTTGACAAAACCTCCTGTCCAAGAACCACCGTCTTCCCAGACTTTCCCCTCCTCCCCCGGGCTTGGGCTGCCCCTGACGTGCAAGGGCAAGGTCACGTCCTGAAGTGCGTGTGATGGACATGGACTTGGGCTGTGAGGCTCTGGTCCTCCGTGTCCTGTTCGTGCCCAGGGGCGCTCACGGAGGCGGCTTGTGGATGTGGAGTGGTGTGCTTTTGCAGTTGTGTTCTGTCGGACGATGTCGTCCGCAGAGACGTTGGAGGTCTGTTCTGGCTGTCGGAGCCTCCGCTGCAGTTGGGGCAAGGCCCTTGCGGAGCCTCAGCTCCTCGGGCTCCGGTCAGCCTGTGCCCGATTGGGACTGCAGAGCGGCAGTGCCGTGCCCTGGCAGTGCTCTGTGCGCCGCTGCTTCCTAAAGGCCAGTTCTTTTTCATTGCGGGCCTTCTCAGAGCCTTTAGCGAGCTGTGTAGCATTTTACTCTCCAGAAGGTTTCCTAGACTGAATTGTCTGGGGAGTCAGTCGTTGGCCGCACTAGTAGCTGGGAACTTCCACTGCACCCGCTCTAGGCAGTGGGGGGAGTAGTTGGTGGGGAGAGAGAGCCTGTGGATTTGCCTGCGGAACCTGTAGATCTAGCTTCCGGTGGGACACAGTTTGAGAAACAGTGGTCGTTTGGTCTGGGCCCGCATCAGGCCAGTTTGCACTGGGCTCGGGAGCCTGGAGCGCATGTTAGCTTTTGCATTTTGAGCTCCTCGGTAAAAGGAAGGGGGTGTGCAGGGCAGCACCCCAGCGTGCTGATCTGAGGGAGCCAGACACAGAGCCCTGACTGCCTTCTGGGCTCTCCCCAGGACGTGGGCTACCCTGAGTTCCTGAACATCCGCCCGTACATGTCGCAGAGCAGCGGCGAGCCCGTGGTGTACGGGCTGTACGCCGTGCTGGTGCACTCGGGCTACAGCTGCCACGCCGGGCACTACTACTGCTACGTGAAGGTGGGTGGCCTGCCGCGGGGGGCGCGGGGGTGCCCGGGCGGTGGGCAGGCGGGTCTGCCCAGCACAGGCAGCCTCTGCAGCGCGGTCTGGGAGGGGCCGTGCTCCGCAGCGGTGCTCAGGCCCCGGTGGCCTCCGCGACTCCGCGGGGGCAGCAGTGCGTGCATGGGGCCTCAGGGCTCTGGCCTAGAACCCGGGGCACGACTCGGGAGGCCCAGAGTGGTGGAGACGCCCCGCTGATCGGAGCTCCCCACATGCCCCGGGAGGAAGCGCCGGGGGCTGCGGGCCAGGAGGGAAGGGGCTGCGTTCACAGGAGGCAGACAGTGGATATTTTAACGGGGAATCGCTTCCAGTTAACTCGGGGCCGGTGAACAGCAGACTCCGCTCCCTGTGTGAAAGAGGCTCACGGAATGTCTGCTCTTTTGTCTTCCCTCCCCTGGGCTGCTCCAGGCAAGCAGCGGGCAGTGGTACCAGATGAATGATTCCCTGGTCCATTCCAGCAACATCCAGGTGGTTCTGAACCAGCAGGCCTACGTGCTCTTCTACCTGCGGTAACGCCCCCCCGCCCCCCTCCGGCCCATCGCGGGGGTGGCTGTGTCCACCGGGAGGGACAGTCAGACCACATCCTCCTGCCGTTGTAAAAGCAGTCCCTCTGCCCTCCCCCCGAGATGACGTGAATGTGACGCGGAAGTGACCGCTTCTCTTAGTGCCCATCAGAGACACTGGCTAGCCAGCACCCCTCTGGGCAGTGACCTCGGTGGGCCGTGAGGTGCTTGTCAGAGGGGGCGGCTCAGTGGTCAGGGTGGGGCTGCAGCAGAGCACCTTGGGAAGATGCCTTTGTGGGGGCTGGTTGTCGCCCACCTGGTGGGAGAACAGGGAGCCCAGAGGCATTTTTGCGACCTCGGATGTGCTCTGCTGAACGTGGTGAGGAGCTTGAGGCATCGGTCTGGCTTTCTGACTGATGGAGCCTGTGACCTTGGAGCTCGGCTGGACGGAGCACACGTTCCAGGCACCTACCCGCTTCCCGTGTGCTCTCAGACAGACGGGAGGGCCAGTGTCTCCGGGTTTTCGCCTTCTCCTTTATTTAGGGATGGTCACCGTGGCCTGCATTTGCTCTGCCCCTCACTGGGGCTCTGTGGTGGTCCCAGCGCGAGTAGGAGAACCTGACCCGTTTTCTCCCCGGACAGGATTCCAGGCTCCAAGAAGAGCCCCGAGGGCGCCATCGCCAGGGCCGGCTCCGCCCCCTCCGGCCGCCCCTGCGGGGCTCTGGACCGCGGCAGGAAGAGCGTCAGCACCGGGGCCCTCTCGCCGCTGCTGCCCGGAAAGGTGCCTCCTCACGGGGACGGGGGCTGCACGGCGGCCGCAGCCCACGCTCTGCCGGCTGCGCCGTGCCGGTGGCCAGAGAGGCGGACGGTCTGTCCTACTTTGGTCCGCGTTCCCTCCTAAGTCGGTCGTCAGCTGACAGAGTGAGCGGGAGGAGGGTCAGCGATGACCCAGCAATTCAGGACGAGGGCACGCTGTCCCTGCTCTGGACCAGCTGCCAGCTGAAGCACAGGGACAGGCTCTGAGCAACCTCCCGGCCTGAAGCATCGGGAACACGCTTAGCGCTGGGGCGTGGAGAGCACCCATGCTGAGCTCCTGGCTTAGCCGTATTTGCTGGTGTGTCATGAGGAAGCCTTTATTCTCAGGGGCGCACACAGATGTACTGGGGTGGAGGGGAGGGCGGGGATCACATCTAAAATGTGCTCAGCTGGTTAGAAAGACAAGTGGGGGAGTGCATGCACATTGATCTGGGAAAACGTTAACTGAGAAATAGCTTTGAGGTTACCTTTGTGTATATTTGACGGTTCCTGCGGGAGGCTGGGCTCAGTGCTACTGACAAGGCAGTGAGGCCGGCAGAGGAGTCGCTCAGGGGATGAGGATGGCGGTGTTGAAGCGACAGAGGCAGACGCAGCATCAGTGAGAATGTTTGAAACAAGCCCTCGCTGGTGAGGGAACCGTGGACACCGCGGGTCAGACATGCACACAGCCCGCCGTCCCATTTCCAACAGTCACCTGGGCTGACACGGAGACAGATCAGCCCTTTGTGATTTAACAAGACTCCGCCAGCCCGGAGTTGGTTGGGTGGCTGTGCTGGTAACAGCTCGGATTCAGGCCTGGGTGGGAGGTGGGGGCATCGCATGGGCACCGTGGCTTAGGTCCTGGTGGTGTGGGCCTGCGGGGGGATGAGGACCTCCCGTGGCGGTGACCCCGGGACCCCCGGAGGCTGTGCAGCTGCGTGGCCGCCGTGGCAGGAGGGGCTGCTAGCCAACGTCACCCTCACTGAGAGCCTGAGACGGACCAGTCGGGAAGCCAGCTGGTCTCTCTCTGTGGCCCAAACCCTCAGAAGCAGAGCCCCAAAGGAGAGAGTGCCACGTGTTCAGTGGCTGTGCAGCGGGATGGGACTGTGTTAGAAACAAAAAGGAAACTTGTATTTCTCACATCTTGGTGGAATGCACTGTCTCACAGCGAAGGTGATTATACAGACCCACGCCCGTGGGTAAGATATTTTGAAGAAGTAACAGCAGGTTCGCTGGGTGGCCGAGGCCGTGGCCATGGCCGAGGCCGTGGCTGTGGGGGCCTGCTGCCACGCAGTGTGCCCCTCACCTGCCGGATCGCTGCCAGGTCTGACTGACCCCCCCGCCCGCTGTCTTTCAGAGGCCGGAGCCCGTGGCCATGAGGAAGCTGCAGGCCCCGGAGGAGACGGGTGTGCCCGTGTCCAGGAACGGCTTCCTGTCGGGCCTGAAGACTCAGAATGGACACACTTCTCCCAAGCTGCCCTTGGGGTCCCCTGCCCCCCGACTCTCCAAAGCACCCACCCCCCGGCCGACCGTCCTGGATGAGCCTGGAAAGAAAGTCAAGAAGCCGGTCCCCCCGCAGCACCTCTCCCCGCCCCTCAAGACTTCTCCGGGGCCCCACCGTGCCAGCGGCAGGGGCGCTGGCCTCCCTACCTCACCCAAGCTTGTGCCTGCAGCGACTGCCAATGGGCACGGGCCTCCGGGCAATGCCCCGGACAGGGCAGCCTCCAGCAGCTCCAGCCCTGAGCACTCGGGGAGCAGCGACCCCGCCCAGGGTCCCCCCACCCCCAGGAGCGGGGCCGCCCGCTTCGGTGACTCTCAGGGAAGGACCCCCACAGCCGGCTCGCCCAGGGCGCTGCTGAACGGTGAAGCCTCCACGGTGGTGAAGCCGCGGCCCCCCGCCCTGAGCAATGTGGCCACCGAGCCCGCGAACGCCATGTCTCCTCCGCCCGCCAAGAAGCTGGCCCTTTCAGCCAGGAAGGTGGGTGTGTGGGTGTCATGGTTGGGGGTGTCGGGTGGCTTTGGTTGGGGAGCGTGACCCGGGGCCTCCTGGGCCCTGCAGATCAGAGGGGCTGTCCCGGAGACGGGGTTCAGGGGACCCTGATTTCCCACCGGCACTCCATGTGCTGACGGAGACTTGGGGCGAGGCAGGTCTCCCTCTCTAAGGGGAGGAGCCAGGATCCAGAGGGAGGACGGGGTGCTGGGCTCACGGTGCTCCGAGCATGGGGTGGCCACAGGATACGGCCCATGGGACCCGGGTGCTGGCACCTCTGGGTGCAACGCAGAGCTCCGTGAAGAAGGGGCCTGCTGGGGTTTTTGTTTAAATTTCCTTCCTTTTCCTTTTCGTTTCTAACCAAAAACACTTCTGATTCTTCTTCTACCACCCCCACCCCTCGCTGTCCCCCATCCTGCTTTCTGAATTCTTTCATTTGTTTTTTGTGTTTATTTGTTTACATTTACTTTTCCTCTCACTCGCCACAACTTTTTTAGACCACCAAGTTTTTATTTATGTCAATAACTGCAGGCCAGCCCCCTGCGGAGGGCCCCCGGCACTGACCGAGCGCCGCCCCCCCCGCCTCTCTCCGACCTCACCCACCCCCGGAAAGCCACTCACCCCGCTGCCGCCTGCGCCCGGCCTGTGGGCACCGCCAGGTAAGAGCCGGCCGGGCCGGGGCCAGCCGCTCCCCCCGGGAGGCCGGCGTGCGGCCGGACAGCCTCTGTCCGCACAGGGCAGGCCTGCAGGTGTGAGGTATTTGCTGGCGGTTTTCTTTGGCGTCAGTCCCGGGACACGCAGAGGAGAGGGTAGTGCGGTCTGGGCCGCGGAGCTCGTTCTGTGTAGATTAGGCCATGACGCTCCTCTGGTGCCTCGGCGTTCTGGCCAGTCATGGTCGGGGTCTCACATGGAGCGTTATCCTTTCCGGGCCCATAGCGAGCGGGACGCAGATCAGAGCCGAACCCGACCTGCTCTAGCCCCGTCCCTGTCCCTGCTCGTTCTGCTGGGAGACAGACTGGTGAACTCTGACTCCCCGATTTCCCTGAACCCCAGATCCCAGGACAGTCTGAGGTGAAGGTGCACAGGCCTGTCCGGGCCTCTCTGACTGCCCTCCTGGTGCCCGGACACCCCGAGTCGCCGGAGGTTGGGGGGCTTGCCCAGTGCGGCTTTTACACGGGAATCACAAATTGGCCTTTGCAGACACGTTGTGCTGCTTGGTGATGAGAAACGAGAGAGACAATGACTTCTGTTAATCTTGGTCTTAAGGAGGCCTGAATTTCATCACTCGTCTGTCTCTTTAACTTACACCTAGATTTTTAAGCTGAGGTTCCTGGGGATGACCCCTAGCTGGGGGGAGGGGCTGCTGAGGGGGGGCCTGGGTCTCAGAACAGTTGTCCTCACTGCCCACCTGTCCTACAGGGCTGTGTCGCCTACTCCCGGATCATCTGGCCTCCCAAGGCCCCCCCACGCCGCCACCCCGCCCAGCAGCCTCCCGAACTCCACCTCCACTCCCCTGCCTCAGGTCAACGGGGGCTTTCGGCCCCCCCAACACCAGCCAGAGGCCAGCGGGCCCCTCAGCCTTTGTAAGAAGAGGAAGCGGAAGCGCTTGGGCGAGGCCCTGAGGCCAGGCTCAGAGCCGGGGGAGGCCGAGGCCCCTCCCGGAAAGAGGAGGAGGAAGAAGAGGAGGCACCCCGAGGACACGGACATCACCCCCCTGCAGCAGGGGCAGCACTGCAGCCCCGGGCACAGACAGGAGGGCAGCGTGGAGCGGCCAGCTTCCAGCCCGGAGGCAGAGGGCGGGCAGCAGCCAGTGAACGGCCGGGGCCTGGTGAATGGCTGGCCGGTGGGATGCAGGACAGACAGCCCCCACGTGAGCAAGAAGAGGAGGAAGGGCGTGGATGGCCTTGGCGGAGAAGGAGAAGCCCGCCTCCGCCAGGACCCACCTTGGCACAGGTGAGAGCCAGGAGCCGACACTGCCTTCCCACCAACCCCCCCCTCCCGGTGGGTGTGGCCTGCAGTCCAGCCTGCTGACCCAGGCGAATGGTGGCAGCAGCATGCCTGGCCGGCACTGTGCACAGGCGGTCACCTGACCCAGCCGGCTGGCCCGGCACTTGCATAACCCGCCTGTAGGACTCTCCTGGGGGGACCTCCAATGCCCCCTACTGGTGGCTGTGACTGGTCCTGGCCAGGCTCAGGGTGGGGCTTGTCCGGGTGACTGGGTCAGACGTGCCAGTGGAAGGGGGAGGGAGCTGACTGCTGACGCTGACCTCAGGAGCTGCTCCCCCTCGGACGCTGAGCCAGAGGCCACTGCAGCGTCTCCAAGGAAAAAGAAGAAAAAGAGGAAGCCGGAGACCCTGCGGGAAGGAGAAGGGAAGGAGCACCCCGAAGGCTGGAAGGGCCCTGCCGTCAGCGGCCAGGGTGCTGGGGACCTCGCAGGTGCGCCGGGCGGGCGGGCAGGTCCTGGGTGGAGCCCTCTGAGTTCGGGTGGCCGCTCCGGGGCGGTGGCTGCAAACGCACTGTGTCTCCGCAGGGCGGGAGCCGGCGCCTCGGCTCTCCTGCACCAGGGAGCGCGGTGCCAGCGTGGTCTGGGAGCTGCTGGAGTGCGCGGCGGATAAGGCCTACGGGAGGAAAGGTGCTGCTGGGCCTGGCGTCTGTGGTTCTGGGGGGCTGTCCTGGTGCCCAGAGCGCAGGCGGCACTTGGCTGTGAAGAAGGGAAGAGTGGCCGCCACTCGGCCTTTTGTCTAAGATCAAGCGCAGTGTCTGTTCCTATCAGTTTAATATCTGATACGTCCTCTGTCCGAGGACATTCTGTTAAATGTATTTTTGCAGCAGGGAGGTGGAATAGGAGCTTGCTCCGTGCACTCCACGCATCGACCCGGTATTGCAGTACCTTCGGGACGGTGCACCCCCTTTGGGAAAACAAACAAAAACAAAAGATAGGAAGAGTGTCTAAACGGTCCATCTGACCCCATCGCACACAGGCCAAGAACTGGTCCTCACGGGGCGGGGTTATCTGTGGAAGGATCCAGAACAGCTTCTGCCTGGGTCCAGGGGCAGGAGAGCACAGAGCATGCATCCCGGGGGCCAGGCCAGGCCAGGAGGGAGGGGGCGGCAGCACTGGCCCAGCACCCAAGGGTGACTTATTCGAAAGCTTATTTCTGTAAGTCAGTCCTGGAGAAAGAACACGAGATCTTTGTTTCTCAGGTGAGGCCGAGGGTTCAAAACAACTACGCTGGGTGGGGGTGGGGCAGTTCCTGGGCAGAGAGGTCACCCACAGGTGAAGACAGGAGCGCTGCCTGAGGCCATGGCATGTGGTGAGAGGACGGGCGACGAGTCAGGGAAGTTACCCTCCAATCCGCAGATGCACGTCACCTGGCAAAGTTAGCTTCTTACAAAGGAGGCTGGAGGAGAACAGGGAGGGCGGTGGGAATCCGAGGTGTAACGCACGTGTCTTGCAGTTCTGACGTGGGGTGGCGAGGTGTCGGCTGTCAGCCAGGACGCCATGCACGACAGCAGGCTGGCCCGCACCTCCTCGGTGATCGACGACTGGGATGAAGAGTTTGACCGCGGGAAGGTAGGCGGCCGGTCGGGAGGGCCCGGCTCGGGCAGGTGGCCTGGAGCCGGTGCCGGCTCAGGAGCCGCTTGGCCCCGGGCATGTGCCACGGCAGGCGTTGGTCCCGGTTCTCCGGGCCTGCATCAGCGGGGGAGCGGCGCCCCGCAGGCCGCAGGCGTGGGCTGGTTATGTCGCGCGTGGAGAGAGGGCGCCGCTGGGACCAGGCCGCCCTCTGGCAGGTGTGACACCTGCGATTCTCCAAACAGGAAAAGAAAATTAAAAAGTTCAAGAGAGAAAGGAAAAGAAACTTCAATGCCTTCCAGAAACTTCAGAACAGACGGAACTTTTGGTCTGTGACTCATCCAGCCAAGGCCACCAGCCTCAGCTACCGCCGCTGAGCCGAGAGGTCAGTGTGAGCTGTGGGTTGGTGTGAGTGTGAATGAGTGTGTGTGAGTGTGGTGGAGTGTGTGTGTGAGTGAGTGTGTGGTGGAGTGTGTGTGTGTGTGTGTGTGTGAGTGTGGTGGAGTGTGAGTGTGTGAGTGTGTGTGAGTGTGTGTGTGTGTGTGTGTGTGTGAGTGTGGTGGAGTGTGAGTGTGTGTGTGTGTGTGTGTGAGTGTGGTGGAGTGTGAGTGTGTGAGTGTGTGTGAGTGTGTGTGTGTGTGGTGGAGTGAGTGAGAATGCATGGGGTGCGGGTGCGGGGTGTGGGGTGAGGCTCACGCACACAGTGTCACTTGCAGAGGAGCCTTGCTCCATCCCAGCCCCTGGCTGGTCCCTGTTGGACGCCCAGGGCCCTTCCCCTGTCAGGATGACTGTTTGCCCCACAGACACTGGGAGACGGCATCGCCTGGGCGCTCCGTGCGGCTCCTGGCTGGGTCACCCCCGGGCCGCACCGCCAGCCTGCGCCGAGGATGAGCGAGGCTCCAGTTCCCGGGGATCCGGCCTCTGGTGACAAACCACACCGTGCTGGGAGGAGCAGGCGGCTGCCCGCGGGGACTGGGCGGCGCGGCTGGGCCGGCGCGGACGGAGCGGGGCGGCGCGGCAGGGCCGGGGCGGACGGAGCGGGGCTGGCGCGGACGGAGCGGGGCCGGCGTGGACGGAGCGGGGCCGGTGTGGACGGAGCAGTGCGGCGCGGACGGAGCAGGGCAGTGCGGACGGTGCGGATGGAGCGGGGCCGGCGCGGACGGAGCGGACGGAGCGGGGCGGTGCGGACGGAGCGGGGCGGGGCCGGGCCGGGCCGGCGCGGACGGAGCGGGGCTGCCGGCTGCACTCTCCTGTGCTTGTGCACCTCGGTGACGTGGCGCTGGTTGCTCGGTGGGCCGTCCGTCACCTGCTCCGGTGGCTGCGTGGTCCGTCTGCGCCCTGCCCCGCTGCTCTTAGGGCTCTGCCTGCCTTACCGTCCACCAGAGCGCGGAGCCGAGGCGGCCCCCGGGCCTCCGTCCTCACAGGGAACCGGACGCTTGGGAGGAGGTGGCCGGGGCTTGAACTGCTGAGCCGGCCCCGCCCATCGGGCTGCTGCTTGCTCTGAGCGCCTCTGTCCAGCGGCGTCGTGGGGTAGGTCCTCCTGTTACGGCTTCACACGCACCGTCGTCTGACCGGGCCTGGGCGCTGGCAGCAGTGTCCTCCCTCCTGCAGATTTTGGCGTCCCTGCTCCGCGTGGGAGTGCTTCAGCCGATGTGACCGCAGATCACTTACCTCGAGCCGTGCCTGCACCGTGTAAAGTAGATCACGGGAACCCTCGGTCGGTGACGTTTTCCAGAACAGTCACAGCTGACCCGGGGTAGGCGGGTCCGAGCACATCTGACAGGCACGGCTCCTTTCTCCGGACCTGCTGCCCCGGGATCGGACCGAGGGCTGCATGGACCTGTCCTCACAGCCGCCCGCCCCTCCCAACGGCCTTCCCTTGCCCCCAGGCTGCCGGGAGGTGTGCGCACTTTCCCATGGGGTCGTCTGGGCGTTCCTGCCTGTGTTCGTTTTCTCTGAAAAGCTGGGGGGATGCCAGCAGCCACACTGGGCCGTCTGGTCCCAAAAAAGTGAGCTACTGGCCGACCCTCTGCCTTTTCGCAAGCCTGGCCTCCGCCTGTCACCTCACCTGCTCAGAGCCTGCGCTTCTCCCTTTCGCCTCCGAAGGGGAGGCGTGCCTCCGGGCGGGGCTTTCTCCTCCTGCAGTGTGTGGCCCTGCAGCGCCCTGGTGGGTAGGGGATGCTGCAGTCTGACAGACTCATCCCCTTCCCTCCCTGCCCTCAGGATCAGCCCCGCCCTCCAGCCTCCTCCTGGGTCACTAGAGCCTCCTGAGGAGCTGTCACCTGTCACCCGGGGCGGGGCCGAGCATTTGTCTCTGTCAGAGTGAGCCCTCCCTCCCACAACACCCCAGCCCCATGCACCAAACTGGGCTGGCGGGCGGCCCAGGAAGTGAGTGGTTCCAGGTGACGTGTGCATCTGTAATGTGTGTAAACAATGAGCTCTGACAGCGGCTCCGCACTCACGACCTGGGCTGAGGTGATGTGCTCAGAGCGGAGCCCTGGGCCGGGGTCTGTGGGAGGGCCTGCCTCCGCCCCGTCCCTCCATTGCTGCCTCTGCGTGGAGGACTGCGCCCGTTCTCAGCACTTCCCTCCAGGGGCTGTGGACCCTCGTGTTGCCAAGATCTTGGTGCAATAAATTAACGAGATTTTGTGAGTTGCCTATGTCTTATTTCTTTTCCTTTGATTTAAAAAAAAATAGATTTTGATATATTTACAGAGAAGAAGGGTGAGGGATAGAGTTAGAAACATCAATGAGGGAGAAACATCGATCAGCTGCCTCCTGCACACCCCCCACTGAGGATGTGCCCGCAACCAAGGTGCATGCCCCTGACCGGACACTTCAGTTGGCAGGCTGACGCTCTATCCACTGAGCCAAACCGGTTAGGGCTTCCTTTGATTTAAAAAATATATATATTTTTTAGCCCTTGACTCGATGGATAGAGTGTTGGCCTGCGGACTGAAAGGTCCTGGGTTCAATTCTGGTCAAGGGTACATGCCTAGTGTGGGGTGTGCAGGAGGCAGCCAATCGATTCTCAATGTTTCTATCCTCCTTTCTCTGAAATCAATAAAACATGTAAAAACTTTTTAATAGTTCACTGACTTTTAGAGAGAGACAAAGCGGGGAGAGAAGCAGCTCCTGGGCCGAGCCCACAGTCCTCCGCGCAGGCAGCTGTCGGAGGGGCGGGCGCCTGCAGCTCCGGTGCAAAGTGGAAGCAGGTCTTTGCTGCCTCCCGGCCGCAGTGAGGCCCCTCCATTGCGGGCCAGCTCTCCCAGGCACCGGCGTCTGGGAGGATGGGCCAGGGGACGCCGCTTAAGGAACACAGGCATTTGGACTCTGCCCCGAAAATGCCCCCCAGCCCCATCCGTGTCACTGCCTCCGAAATGCCCCTGCCCGGCCCCTCCCCCACTCCCCACAGCCCTCCCCACGTGGCGGCCAGCTGTCTTGGGGCGGCGGGAACTGCTGAGGCAGCTGGCCACAATCAAGCTCCATTATACACAGACTCCAGCGCCGCCCGCTCGGGAGGAAATGGCCCGCTCGCACAAAATAAACCTGGGGGCTTTCCAAGGCGGCGCCAGTCCGGGCCTGGCCTGCGGGCGGAAGCCTCTGGTCTCCTCCCTTCCCCTGCCCGGGCACCGCCCCGGGGTGTAGCTGTAGCCGCAGACAGGGTCAGGCTGGGGTGCTCCCTGCGAGAGTGCCTGTCAGTCTGAGCGTCACCCACGCCCCTGGCCTGAGAGGGTGGAGGCTGGCTTCCCGAAGGGTGACCGCCCTGTCACAGCCAGGTTGCCGGAGGCTGGGCTCAGGCGTTCCTCTGGGAAGCAGAGCCGTCCTGGGCGTTCGCCAGCCCTCCAGGGTCTTGGAGGAGCAGCGGCCCCTGAGGAAGTGGCTTGGACTTGGGTTAACGGGAGCCTCGGAGGACATCGGGCTTCCTGCGCCTCCGGGCTCAGCAGCGTGGGGACGGAGCCCATGGTTTGCCCTCAGCCCTTCTCTCCCTCACCTGTCCCTGGGCACACAGGGCTCATGGGGGCAGGAGAGCAGGGGAGGGGGAGGGAGAGGGCTGTCCTTCCTTTCTCACAGACCCTCAGCTGAACCTCCTGCCTCGCCCTGATGGGAGAGGAGAAAGGCAACAAAACGAATCCTTTATCTTGTTATTTTTAATCCTCATTTTTTTTCCTTGATTCAGAGAGAGGAAGGGAGAGGGAGAGGAACATTGATGTGAGAAAGAAACATCAATTGGTTGCCTCACAAATGCACCTCGACCGAGGATCAAGCTGGCACCCTGGGCACGTGCCTTTGACTGGGACTCAGACCCATGACCCTATGGTGTGCGGCCAGTGCTCCAACCTCTGTGCCACTGGCCAGAGCAGGCCAGGCTTTGTTAAAACCTTTCAGTAAAGAAGCCGTAGGCCTGGGGCGTGACTCCACCGTGACCTGCCCAGTTCGGAATTTATGATCCGATCATGCTGGGGAGTTATTTCCCATCGAACCCCCTTTTTGTCACCTGCACACACACGGGTTTTCATCGAAAATGGAAATACTCTACCCCACTGCTGTGTCCTTGCCCTTCTCACTCTGTGGATGCATCATCTTATTTAAAACGTTTTTATTGATTTCAGAGAGGAAGGGAGAGGGAAACATCAATGGTGAGAGAGAACCATTGATGGGCTGCCTCTTGCATGGCTCCTACCAGGGATGGAGCCTGCAACCTGGGCTCGTGCCCTGACCAGGAATCTAACCATGACCTCCCAGTTCATAGGTCGATGCTCAACCACTGAGCCAAACCGGCCCAGAAGCGCTCCCTTGTAGGAAAGGGGAATACAGCGACTTGCCCCCTGCTGAGGGCTGAGGTGTTGCCTGAAGAAGGTTGAAACTCTGCCTTAGAATAAGCGCAGGAAAAAATAGATGTTGCTTAAAAGACTTCCTTTGTCATTTTAATTCTTGAAATTACGCAAGCAAGGGAGGCGCCAACTTAAAAAAACGCAGTGGATCGACCTCTGAACAGACTGCAGTGAGGCCCGTGGGAGCCTGACCTGTTTTCACGGTTCTCTGAAGAACTGACACAGTGGGACCTGAGAAAGGGGAGGGGTGAGGGAGAGGGTGCGGGAGGGGTGTCTGGGTCAGAAGCCTCCGCTACAGTGAGTTCCCGATCCTCTCCAGGGGGCCTCCAGGAGCCTGGGGCACCCCCCTCGCCCTTGAGGTCTCTGTGCTTAGGGCCGGTAGCCAGTAAGCTCACGGATCCTAACTCCTAAGGGCTCGAACCTGTGACCTCTCCGGGCCTGTCTCCAAAGCTGCCTCAGGGAGATTGTGAGGAATGAGAGTCCTGCCCTCCCCAGGCAGGATGCCTAGTAACCCCACCCGGGGGACCCGGTGCACCCTGCCCGGCCACGCAGGCCTTCGCCAATGACAGGCGAGTGAGGACCGGGTTCTGCCTCCTCTTCCTCCAGTGACTGGTCTCCCAGCCATGCAGAGCGGGCCCCGTAGGCGGGAAACACTGCTGACAGGGAACGATGGGCCTTAAGGGAATGTGCAGCCAGGCGGGCTCCCTGCTAGTGGCCGGAGGTGATGAGCATCGCCCCAGAATGCTCCTGTCCTAGTCTGCCCGCCCGGGAGACGTAACAAGCTGGGAGTGAAGAGGGTGACAATTACCATGTTATCTTTCGTCCTGAGCTTTGGTCATTGAGCAAGAGTTCTGGTAGCCGGGGTGGGGGGCCCCACATCCTGGTCAGGGGAGGAAGCGGGCTGGAGATGCCGTGAACCTTCCGGGGGCTCCGGGCAGAGAGGAGGAAACGTTAGGGAGAGCCTGCCCCACTGCGATGGCTCCCAGACAAAGTGGGCAATTCTAAAGCATCAAAGCAGCCCAAGGACAGCCCGGCCAGGGTGGCGCAGTGGACAGAGTGTCAGCCGCGGACTGAAGGGTCCTGGGTTCAATCCCAGTCAAGGGCATGTACCTACTACCATTGCAGGCTCGATCCCCAGCCCTGGTTGGGTGGAGCACATTCAGGAAGCAACCAGTCACGTCTGTCACACGGATGTTTTTCTTTCTTTGTCTATCCACTTCCTTTCCACTCTAAAATATATATATATATATATATATATATATATATATATATATATATATATGGTGAGGGTTAACAAGAAATAAAATAAAATGTTAAAACAAAAAACACGCAAGGACAGCCGGGCCGGGTGGCTCAGTTGGCTGAGCATTGTCCCATGCCCAGGCACCAGGAGGTCCTCCCGTCAAGGCACATGCCCAGGTTGCAAGCTGGATTCCCAGTAGGAGCATGCAGGAGGCAGCCTGTCCACGTTTCTCTCTCTCCCTCTCCTTTTCTTTCTCTGACATCAATAAACACATTTAAACACACACACACACAAAAAAAAAACACAAAACACACACACACAAAAAAAAAAACCTGAAGGACCTTGCATCAAAAAGTGATTCCCGCTAAGACAGGTTTGGCTCAGTGGATACAGCGTCGATCTTCGGACTCCAGGGTTCCAGGTTCAATTCCGGTCAAGGGCATGTACATTGGTTGCGGGCACATCCCCAGTGGGGGGTGTGCGGGAGGCAGCTGGTCGGTGTTTCTCTCTCATCGATGTTTCTAGCTCTCTATCCCTCTCCCTTCCTCTCTGTAAAAAATCAGTAATATATATATATATATATATATATATATATATATATACACACACACACACACACACACACACACACATATATGCGATTCCCTGCTCTAATGTTGAAATCTGATGAAATCACTGAAGATCAAACTTGCAAATACACCAGAATCAGTCTTTTAGGAGCTTAACAATCTCTACAAGGCAAATGTCTAATTTCTGGAATTACTCGAAAGCAGCATGGGGGAAGAGAGGGGGTTGTGCCCAAGGAAATAGACACCATCTTAGACTTTTAGGGACATCAAGGTTGTCCCCCAAAGGCTGGTGAGTCAGTTCATGAGGTTAAGAAGGCTGGGCGGGCCTCGCCTGCGTGGCTCAGTGGTTGGGTGTTGACATGATTCAGGAGGTCACAGTTCGATTCCCTGTCCGGGCACAGGCCCAGGTTGAGGGCTCGGTCCTCAGTGTGGGGCAAGCAGGAGGCAGCCGATCAATGGTTCTCTCTCATCATTGATGTTTCTCTCTCTCCCTCTCCCTTCCTCTCCGAAATCAATAAAAATAATAATAATAAAAAAAAAGAGGCTGGGCCAGAGCTGTAGAGTAGGGTCAGGTCGTAGAGTAGGGTTCCTGAGGCTGCTAAGTCAAAAGCCATCTCACATAACTGAAATACTAGTGCTGTGAGCAGTGGAGAAGTCTGGATCTGACCCAGCGGAGACCAGTTGAGCGAAAGCCGGTGTCTTGTAGGCAGAGGCTGGGCTTCGTGGGTGGGAAACGGGTGCAAGGGGTTGAGAGGTTTGAGAGCTAATCAGAGCAGATCCGGAATGAATGCTCATTCCTCATTCGTTTAATTTTCCCACATGAGTTAATGACTCGTCTTTGTTGTCTAGAACAGTGTTTCCCAAAGTGTGGTACGCGTACCCCAGGGGTACGGGAAGAGTTTGGTGGGGATATGCACTGCACCGTGCTTAGCTGCGCCTAATTCTACGTTCTCATGAGTACGAGGGGTACTCGGCGTTACGAAAATTATAGAAGGGGTACACATA